AATACATTTTTTTTATACTGTTCTATTTTGAGTGCTCTAAAGAGGCTTGTCCCCCCCAATTTCCTTTTCAAATTTATTTTTTTCTCAGTCCTTATTTTTATTGTTCTTCTGTTGAACACTACTGTAGCAATATCAGATTTGTTGGATGACTTTCTCATTTATTTAAAATTTAAAACTTAGTTTCCAATGTGCCAGATCTTGGTTTGCACTTAGGATTCCTTCTCTTTGTTTGTTTAGGATTCCAGTGATCTATGATACATTTATATAGGGTAACAATATTTTATCACAATGTAGTAACTGTAGCATAATTTATTCAGGATTTAGGCTACTTCAGTTGCTTCAAAAAGAATTGAAATTCTTTTTTAGAATCTTTTTTATTTTATTTTTTCTTCAGCTCAAGATGTCTTTATTATCCCCTTTGTATTGGCTTGGCTTGCCCAAATTTATTTTCTACTATCTTATTAATTTAAGCTCCTCTCCTATAAATCTTATCCATATATTGATAAAAGGCTCATCAGTACTTTTACTTAGTGCTGAGCTTACGTATGTACTTGGCAACATTTTTCTGAAATGTTGATTTTAAAACTCCTGTCTGGCTACCTAAATTGTTTTTCAGAATTTTATGATTACATGTCACTTCGTAATTGAGGTGCATCTTCATTGCTGTTTCATCCTCATACTGTCAACATGGAATATATATGCCTATCACAAACCTAGCCCTGTCACTCTTCACATAACATTAATACATTCTTTTTTTAACTAGTTTTCTTAACAAGCTTTAGTGTCTTTGCTCACATACTATACTATAAATCATGACTTACAAATCATAATAGCTGGCAACATATACAGATATTGTTTAAAACAAACCATAATTTAATGTTTGGGGGTTTTGTACACCTAACCTCTGTCTTTAATGTTGTTTGGCTATTATCAATAACTAACCCTCAAAGGCATATCTTTTAGTATTTATTTCTTGAAATTCTTCTCATTATTTCACCCTAGAATTAAATTCTGTATTTTACCTAGAATTCAAACAGCTTGAAGCATTTCTCACTTCACAGATAATATCTTTGTTTTGTTTTGTTTTTGTTATAGTTGCATTTCTTCAGGCTGCATTGAATTACCACTCTGTATGATGTCTAATGTTCTAAGGGTTGTGTTTCAGAAGGTGGTAAAAATGTGTAAAAAAAAAGCTGATATTTTACCTGTAATTCTCTTTGTGTCACTGAAGAATGTTTGTATTTTTCTGTCATACAGATATACTCTTTCAAATATAGACACATCATTAGAGGGAGCATCAGAAGATATGACAGTTGTGGATGCTGCTTCTCTAAGACGACAGGTATCTAAAATTCTTCAGCTATTATAGCTGTAATACTTACATAATATAGTTAATTCATATAGTAAATGTGAAGTGTAAGGGACCAGAAGTGTATTACCATTAACATTTAGAAGTGTATTCATAGTTGATTTCATAAATACAGTTTATCAACAGTTGTACAAAGTTGTTTTCTCAGCATTCTCAGTTTCTAAATTAATAAAATATAGGAATGTCCCAGCACAAATATGAGTAGAAACATTTGAAAGGAAAAGCTGTTGAGAAAATATATTCTGTTGCTTTGTTTCAAGTTGCTGAACAAACTCTGCTTGTATTAAGATTTATTTATTTATTTAATTTATTTGCCACCGTCTCATAACTAAACAACTTTGGGCAGCTTGCAGCTTTAAACCATTAAAATCCTAACAAATAAATATATTTGTCAATAAAAATGGAAATCCCACTCAAGATAAAATTATAGTTTAAAAGATGGGAAGGGAAAGAACAGGATGCCTGTGGGGTTGGTAGAATTGCCTCTTAAATCATCAATCACCTCTAGTGTGATGCTTCCCCATTAGGGTCCCCGGCTAAGATTCATGCATGCATTTTATGTTGTGTCATTCTTCATATACTGTAAAGTTTTTTGTATTATTTGTTGCAAAGCAGTTTTCACATGAATAAATCTAGAAAAAGGGTTGAACTATAAGACCAGAAAGCTTTCACAAATGTGTAAAATTAAAAGCCTAGAAAAATATTCAAAATTGCAACAATTACAAATAATCCTCAACTAATGAGAAGTCAAAATTATGAGAGGCTCAGAATGGGTGCTTTATATCTATAATGCACTTCTGCCCATCATAAAATGTATTCCCTCTATGGTCATGTGACTGCATTTCAACTGTTCGGCAATCAGCTTGTCTTTACAATCAGTTGCACCATACCATGGTGGCATTATGATGATTTGTGATGTTTTTTTACCAGTTTCTGGCAAAACACCCATTTGAAAGAATGGGTTTCCACTTACAACCATGGTGTTTGCTCTATGATTGTGGATTCATTTAATGTGTGCGGTGATACTACAAAAATATCATAAAATTGGGTTTGGTCACATAGGTGCCTCAACTTGTGACTGTGACAATTTACAACCAGAAACTCAGTCCCAATTTACATACTGAAGAATAAAATGTATGGAAACAGAGTGCTAATGATATACCATGACTGCAGTAGCTCCCTGCAAGAAAAGGTGTGATAAAAGTAGTGAAATGTAGGAGATAAAAATATGAATTTGTTAATATAAATACAGAACATGAAAGAAAATGTAGCCCAAATTACAAAGACTGTAAGGGCAAGAGTATTATCTTACCGAAAACAGGTCTTCTGTTGGTTAAACAGTAGGCTTCCAGGATTGAAGTACTATATTGACAGACTCTGCTTGATCACTCAGGTAGTTGTGGAAAATATTAATATTTATTTTTGTCTTTTAGATAATAAAACTTAATCGCCGCCTACAACTTCTGGAAGAAGAAAATAAAGAGCGTGCTAAAAGGGAGATGATCATGTATTCAATCACTGTAGCTTTCTGGCTACTAAATAGTTGGCTTTGGTTTCGGCGCTAAAAATAGCTTCTACATTTAAAAAGATCTGACAGTGGGGAAATACAAAAAAATTACAAAGCCCTTTGTCTCTGAATTGTATGGTGACTTATGACCCATGCACTGGAAACGTCTGCCACTGTAAAAAAAAAAAAACTAATATAATACAGTGTTAAAAGGATGCTTGGACATTTTTTTTCCAAATTGTTGTAATATTCTGTTAACATTTTTTTGCATGATAATGTACATTTGAACTGTATTTTGCAAAGGGAAATGTCTTCACTCTGTAAAGGTAACTACAGACACTTCTCTTTGCATAGAAAGACAAACGTGGATTTTTCAAATAATCTACAAAATGGCATAACTTGCGGTAGGTTTTTCCTTTTTTTGTATTATTAAGTACAGCACCTTTATTGTTAACTAATTGCACTTGTTTCATTTAGTCAAAAAATTTTTTGCAGTGGTTTGCCAAATGAAATGGCATCCTAACTTATCTATATCTCTCATTCTGGCAAGTGTACATATTGACTAAAAAACATTATTTGCTAGAATGTCAGGAGATTATCCAGAGGTATGTGTAAAATGTAGTTTAGCTTTAATTTTGCTTTTTTTTCCTTAAAAAATAAAATCTTAAGCAAGTCTGTTTGAGTGATTTAAAGATTATGGAACAAAGTACCAACAGTAGTATAATTCATAAAAGTAAAGAGATTGTAATTTCTTATCATTGCACTGAATTGTATTCTTTGTTCTTTGGAACTGTGGAAACTTGAAATTGCAAGTACTTAGCTTTCTATTTTTAACTAAGACATTTTTATTTCTTTAGTTCAACACAGCATCTCAAATCACTGTTTCTATTTAAGTGGTTATTTTCTTGTTTGTTCTTACACTTTGAGTCCAACCATTTGCACATACCGTACTTTATTTTCCTACACTAATGTTCACCGTGTGTTTTAGTTTAAAAGTTCTACCTTCTTGGAAAGTGATGTAAAATAATAAAATGTTGACATGAAAAGCATTTGTGAACTGTGAAAAACAAAGTCTAGTCCCTAAATAATTTCTATAATTAAAGATTAGATAAAATGCCTCAGTTAAATGTTTACTGATATTTTATTAAAATACCTTTGTAGTGTCTGCCAAAATATTGTATCTTATCAATTTTTTTGTAGAATTGTTAGGATTCTTACCCATGAATTTAAAACCACCCCTTTTTTATTATTAGTGCACATAGGTGATATGTCCAAGCAATTATACTTATTATTTTTTCATTAAGGCTTAAGTATAAGAAACAAGATTTTTTAGTTATCTTTTGAGCCCCAAATACTGTTCCATAATCTGTCTCTCTTGGCTACATTTGCTGAGTTGCGATCCAGAGCTACCACATTGTCTACTGCTAGTTTGGATACACCAGTCTGGAAATTAAATTAAAAATTTCACAACAGAAATAGAAGAGGCAGAAAACTCCTTATTCTGTTGAAAAATCATTTTGAGTTTGGTGCTTCCTAATTATTTTATGTGTGATGATACTGTTCCTGCATTTGGTCTATGGGATTGACTTTTAGTTTGCAAAATTAGAATTTGGTGTGCAAACCCTGCTTCTAAAAGATGTAACAAATGGATTCCATTTGGAATAACTACTTTCAGGACACAGTCTTAAAACCTTAGGTTTGCCAAGAGTTTTGGGGAGCAAAAATGGCACTTTATAAAATGTTTAAGTTTTAATCTTGCAGCAGTTTTTGGACTTTTATACAACAATAATGTTTTTGTTTTAAATTTTGCTTCAACACATGCTTGCTATAGTTCAGTCTGAATATCTCTTGTATCATATACTATAGCTTGGATACTTGGGTAGATGAAGAATGGAAGCTGAAGCTTGTAAAAGCCTTGATTCATTCTGGTTACTTAAATGTAAACATGCAGGTTTCTTTGGGAGGGAAAAAAACCCAGTAACAGGTTGCTCTTTGCCTTTTTCCAGTCTAGCCTACAGCCCTTGAATACATTCGTCAGTCTAATCCTGTTTAGTTTTGGAGATTAGACGTTTGTTACTCTAAAAACGTTATTGAAAATCTCTTCTCTTGAATAAAAAAAATAAGCTGCATCATCATCATCCCCTCAGTAGCTCCCCTACTGAAACGTTTTTTACATTCTCATAATAACGTTGAAAATAGTAGCCGTTTGTACTTTTGGCTACAAGCCCTGTTAGTACAGCCAATAGTCCGGTAAGAGAGATACTGGCACGCAGCTCTTTAAAGTAATAATTGCGGAAAGCTTATAAACCTGGATTTCCAGACCTACAGTTTATTTGGCATTCGACTGCGTCGCAGAACTGCGATCTAGTTTTGATGCACCTTTTTGAACCAGCCATGTTTATAGCAGCGCCGAGCCTCATTCGCTAGAAGTCAACTTGAGCCCGGAACTCAGCCGGACCAGAAAGGAAATGGCATATGTTTCCAGCCGGTGCTAAATCAAGGTTCCGCGGGTATAATGGCGTCGATGCTCTTACGCCCGCTGCTTCTCCATACTTCTCAGCGGCTGTTCGCGGCGGCGAATGGAGCCGCCTTGCTTCGTTCTCAGCCGCGCCGAAACAAAAAGCTCTGGCTCCAAGCTTATCTGAAGCAGCAGCGTTTGCTTGAGCCTCCCAGGCGCCGGTAAGAGGGTCTCGGGTGGGAGAGGCTCACGGGATGATGCAGGTTTAGGGCGAGGGGAGCGCTTCTTTTCGCAATATGCAAGCTTTAGGCAGCGTCTTGCCTGGGTTTCTTGGATTCTACCACCTATGTCAGCTCTTCTCACTGACATCTGTTAATGTCTGTTGTCTATAAACAATCTTTTCCACCAGCCAGTTCACTCAGCACATCTTTTTCTCTCAGGTTTTGCTAGGTCTGTCACTGCAGATTCTTCCATCACTACACTTCAAAAACAACTTCAAGAATACTCAACAATCTCCTCCTCCATTAGTTAATATTTCTTGCCTTTTATATTCATATTCACACAGCAGGTATTATAATCAAGCATGACACTGAGGCTAATTTACTCCCTCCCTCCCAAACCCTTTTTTACTTTGAGGCCATCACATCATCCCATGTATATCAAAGCAACTTACCACCCTCCAATCTCCATCTTCTAATCAGGACTGATACTGTTTAGCTTCTGAGTTCATTTATGGTAAATTGTAGTGTGGTTTGCTTTGATTCTGACTTAGTCTGCTAACTGAACACAGATATTATAGCATATAAATCAGACTTCTAAGTACAGTGTATGAATCCAGCTAATTATGGTTTATTGAACAAAACAGGCTAAGGAAATCATGGAATAATTCACTGTGTAAACCCATTCATTGTCTACAGTTGTATGAATGGTAAACACAAAACAATAAATTTTTGGTTTTGTGAAAGTGCAAAATAACAACAACCAAACAAGTTACAGACAGAAACCCAGCGTGATGTAGTAAGTTAGTATTGAAGAAGAACTGTGAAGATTCAAGTTCAAGTTTACTCTCAACCATGAAATCTTGCTGGGTGTTTTAACAGATAGAGTTAAATAGGCATACTTTGCCTTCAGTATTTTCCCCTGTAGCTTTCATGTTATAAAAGTTAATTTTGTTAATTACAGGGGCTTGTACATTGTGGCCACCTATCTTTTCAATATTTTCACAGTAATTTGGCTATGTATTCATTAGTATGCTTATTAGAATTGTAGCAATTGTTTTTAGGAATTTCAGATAATTGCAACATAATTAACAGTTTATTTGAAATGTTCATATCCCTAATTTTTCAGGAATAAACAGTACGATAATACAGTTTTTAGTTTTTCTTATCTTGCTGGATTGGGATAAGAAAGTTTGAAGTAAAACATGAATTAACAAAAATACCATAATATTGTGACATAAACTGTAGAGACTTTCAGTTCCATGTTTCATACCTGAAAGTTCTTTTATAATCCTTCTGTGTGCAATACATGACTTAAACAAATTAAATATATAGAAGTTTCTATTTTTGAAATGTGTTTGCTCATAATAATCAACTTGGGGCTCTGAAATTATTTTTCCCACAACATCTTTGACTTCCACAGTGAAGATTTTCGAACTGAATATATACATCTAGAAATCCAATACTGCTTTTTAAGAGATAGCCTTAGTCTAACCATGAAATCTGTCTTGACTAGGCTGTTTTTTTATATATATATTTGATTCTCTATTTCTGCTCTTGTTTTATGTAGGTCTGAGAAGCCTAACTGGGATTACCATGCAGAAATAGAAGCTTTTGGCCACCGGGTACACGAGACATTCCCACTGGACCAACTCAAAACTGCATTTGTTAACCCCTGCTATATAAAAAATGAAGAATCTAAACACCAAGAACTTGGACTAAAAAAAGTAGACCTTGCTCTTAATCTCAAGGACAATCAGGAACTTTCTTTACAGGGAGCTTCCTTTTCGCACTCTTATCTTACACGGTGCTTTGAAGAAGCTTTTCCAAAAATGCCACCTGCTGGCATTGAGGCTCTTGTTAACTATCTCACCAGTGAAGAAATAGTATCTTACATTGCTACAAACCTGTCTTTGCAAGACTTGACACTTTGTGCAGAATTTCCTGTGCCACCTAAGGTGCTGCAGAAGACTCTTTTTGCTGTAATAGGAGCTTTGCTTCAAGGTAACAGCTCTCAAAGAACAGCGATCTTTATCAGAGTAAGTTATTATTACAGAATGTAATGTTATGGCTAGCTAAAAAAAAGTTCTTTATATCCATCCAAAATTATAGAGCTAGTAAAATGTGTAAGAAAATATAATATATTGTTCAGGGATTAATAGATTAATCTTCAATTGCCTTTGTGATTTATTTAATGAAATTGAGATGAAATTGTTTTAATGAGTTAATAGACAAGGTTACTTTAAGCAGAGACAGGCTGTCAAAAGGGTACAGGCTGTACCTGTAAGAAAACAAAGCATTTCATATACTATCACGCTACCAAATTTTGGCAACCAGTTTTTTTCATAGACATTTGAAATTGGTGATGCAGACTTTTTGTTAACAAAAGATTTGCATGGGTGCTGTATTCTGACACAAATTTGCAAATTAGATTAGCAAAACACATATTAAGAGAATTAAGAAAAATATTCTTTCTTCCTAATATGCAAAATGATATTAAAGACTTGAGACAAATACTGGAAAATTACATGCAGAGATCCAGCTATAGTGCCATAATTTTAGTGTAGTATTGCTTTATTTGCTTGTTGATTACATGGAGGTTGTGGAAACATTTATTTTAGACCAACAGTGCCCTTACTGCTCTTTAGAATAAATAATGTAAGCATAAATATCTGGTGGTGGTTAGTGCTGAGGTGAGAAATGCTATTTTATGTAACTATCCTTCAGGGAACTTAACTTTGTGGAAGATGATTTCAGAAAGTTTATATTTGATTTAGCCTATAGACTTCCTTAGATGGTTAATTTCAGTTAATTCTGATTATTTTGTGAAAATTAAACATGATGGTATGGCTTTCCTTGTCTCCCAAGCTATTTTGTAGTGTGTCTACTTCCACCCTATTAATCTGTAAATACTTTTTCCCTTGGTATGCTAATAAAAAATTATCTCAATGCTTGAGAGGCATAGTCTATTTAAAGTATTATAATGCAGTAATAATTAAGCATTACAAAAAATACGCCCTAGTGCAGTGGTTCTCAACATTTTTTTCCACTATGGACTCCCTTTAAATCCCTTTTGTGGCCACGAACCATAGACCCCCAAGACTCAAGATTTAAATCATAACATTTCTTCAAAAGCCTTTGTGGACCCCCTTTGATAACACTGTGGCCCACCAGGGGCCTACAGACCACAGGTTGAGAACCATTGCCCTAGTGAATAAGAGTTCTGTTTGATTCCAAAGAAATGTATGTAGGTAGTTCTCAAATTGTGACAACAATTGGGATCAGAATTTCTATTACTAAGCAAGGTGGTTGTTAAATGAGTTAACTTAATTTTATGACTTTTTGCCATGGTTGTTAAGTGAGTCACTGCAGTCCTTAAGTTATTCATGTAGTCATTAAACAAATCCAGGCTTCCTCCATTGACTATGCCTGTCAGAAGTTGGCTGGGAAGGGTGCAGATGGCCATCACATGATCCTTGGATGCTGCAACCATCATAAATACATGCCAGTTTTCAAATGCTCAAATTTTAATGGGAATGCTGTGATGGTTATAAATGCAAGGACCTGTTGTAAGTCACTCTTTTCAGTGCTGTTATAGCCAAATGAATGGTTATAAGTCGAAGACTACCTGTATTATGTATGTCAAGCAATGATCATTGCTATTATTTTAAAATAACTAAAGCACAGTATTCTGTTTGATTTCATATAAATAAAATAATATTGTCTTTTTAATATTTGTTTACAGGACTTCTTCATCCCTCAGTTGATAGGAAAGGAACTATTTGAGATGTGGAACATTGTAAACCCCATGGGCTTGCTGCTGGAAGAACTGGCCAAAAGGAATATAACTGCTCCAGAACCAAGGCTAACCAGGCAATCAGGAGCTACCACTGCTTTGCCCTTGTTCTTTGTTGGGTTATATTGGTTAGTAAGATTTCAGGCTGATTCAGACTTGTTACTATGTAGTGAAGGTGGACACTGTCTTTTCAGTCAGAGTCACCATATTTGAATGGAATTTCATATAGAAAATAAAACAGGCATAAAGCAGTTTAGTTAGTGTCCATTGGTGGGGAGCAGAATGCCTCCAAGCACCAATTGTAATAGAATAATGGCAGGAGAAGAACTGGTTGGCCACTGATATACGTGCTGAACACATTGCCTTAGCATGTTGAACCTGCAGGGTTTAGAATTACACTTCCAATTAATATAAGTGATAATAAAATCTAAACTAGCCTTTCATATTCTGTTATTTGCAGTGCATATTATAGCTTGTAAAGAATTATACATTTTTGTTGGTTTCTATTCTCTAAAGAATAGTTCTAATCATGGTCCCATTTCCAGCTTATATCTCTACAAGAGTGCTTTCTGACAGGAAGAGACATGTTTCTGACATTCTTCAGTCTATTTCAGGAGTGATGACTTTGCAGTGTGGGTTCAGAAAAAATAGTGTCATAACTTGTCCTTGTTAAGCTCACTAAAATTCCTTTTGAGCTACTTTTATGGGTTTTGAGCCTTTAAAGAAGTCTTTATCTTGTTTTTTTATCTCAGTCTTACCTTTTTCATATTGCTAGTACTACTATTCATGGATTATTCTTGATCTTTTTTGCCCTGAATTTTGAAGTAATTTTACAAATTCAGGTCTTGACAATTGCTTTTCTTGTGTTTTGTAATTCTTGATTGTACAACATGATTTATAAGGACACATTAATTCAAGGGAGTTAATTGCTTAGAATTGTTGGTAGTGGTAGAAAGTATATTGATACCAATTGATATCAGGAAAAGTAGAGATTAATTAATTTACTGTTTTTTGTCTTTTGTAAAATCCAAACCATCTTTCTTAATATTTTTGATTGTTTTCTAGGAGCAAAATCAGGATCTAATATTTCATCTTTTATTAATTTTCATTTCAATATATTGCATACAATCACTACAGAACAATCTAATAATAAAGGTAGCAGATAGATTTCTTAAAACGGAAATGCAGAACAATAGTTTCAAAATCAGTTTATACAAAGATCAAATAATAGACTAAAATTGTTTTTCACGGTATTATGTCATGCTTGGTGAGATAATTTTATACTCAAGGAGCTATTTGAGCTACCAGTTTTTCAGTATTTGATTTACAAAGAGGCTATGTACTCTATACCAAGCCTTATTCTTAGTTATTAGATAAACAGACTGTATGTTGCCTAATCTGATTGATCAGTTGCATAATCGTAGACAATAAAAGTATTTTTTCTCTTTTCAGTGATAAGAAGCTTCTAGCTGAAGGTACTGGTGAAACAGTATTAGCTGCTGAAGAAGAAGCTGCTCGTGTGGCCTTGCGAAAACTTTATGGATTCACTGAGAACAGACAACCCTGGCATTACCCTTCTTTGAAATGCGAGAAGAAAACTGAAAAAGCTATTAGCAGTAGTTAGGCAAAAAAAAATCAGATCATTTGCAACAATACTGTATTTCAGGAAGAACTTTTTTCCTTCTCTTCCGTTAGATTTATCTAAATTAGAATGCTTTGAATAAAAGTGATCTATCAAACGATTCATAAGATAGTCGCATTCATTGTATTCATTCCTTGTACTGTGAATATTTGCATTGTCAACCCAAAGAGAGGGATTATATATTTCACTTCTTGATGGAGAGCTAAAATTAAATTTGTACCATCTTTATGATCACCAAAGTGCATTTGTGGCTGGGTATGTTTCTTTACCCAGGTTCAACCTCATGTATTTGTGTCTCAGTAATTTGCAATACTCATCTAATTTCCATCAAAATTTCTAATCTGTTAAATATATTTGCAAGGAGTATGAGCATCTACTAGGAATTTCTCATGTGTAATCTCACTAGAATAGTGATTGTACAATATCACATCTTCCAATTATGCATTAAAAGAATCCCCCACACATATTTAGAACCAAATAAGATCATTGACACGGCTTTAAAAACATTCACCTATGTTTGAATATATTTCTATTTCAGCTTTTATTACAATGGAATGCATACGGAGTCTTCAAACCTCTTGAATTTCCTCCTTAAACTGGACCTGAATGCTGACATCAACATCTATTAGCTATAGAATAATCTCATACCAATTAGATGGGACTGAGGGAGAAAAGATAGATGCTGTGCTGTTACCAACCTAATGATTCTATTACTCCTGCTCTTTGTCAAGATATGGGAACTCTGCTGGAAGGAAATATGACTTTCTAAGTTCCCCTGAGACATGCTACATATACATATTCACCTACTGAAAATGAGATTTAATAGAAACTCACACATATTAGACTATGAATATATTTACAGAGATAATATTATATTTCAAGCAATTTAGAAAATAATTATTTGATGTTCTGGATATATACTTTGTATGATAAAACGTACAATATTCCTTGCTGTACACACTGCTTATAATTCTGAAACTTAAAGCCTTAGCACATTGAGAATGAGGCTGATGGACAATTTACAATCATTACGTGTTTGGAAAGAATCACAGTGATAAAACACATCTTTGCCTGTGAAAGACTACTTGTATGTTTAAAGGATTTTAGTACATAGCAAAACAAAAATGAAACCAGCAAGGTAGTTGAATAATATCCAGTAAAATGGTCTAACTAGGAAGGAATTCAAAGAATGTTTCAACTGCTATTTGATCAGCAACATATATACAACTCATCTCTAGGTCCAGATGCTTACTTGAGAATATATAATATAAAATACAACTTTGCTTTTGTAGAAACCAGAAGTTAAAACCAATGCTTGTCATCTTAGGTTATCAAAAAATGGGGAAAAGGGGAAGTGGCAGTACAGCCAAAATAAAGTTGTATCTATGAGCCACAATCCACCCAAGCAATAATGGTCATAAAAATAATTATATCTATTGGCCTGTAATCTCATTGCTTCTGCAAATTGCTGGCCCCAGACATTAATATAAAACCAAACAATAGTGCTAGGTGTGTGGCAGATTGTGCAATCATTTTATGGCATTTCCATGTTTTTTTATAATTGTAAATCACTCAAAATCAGATGGGCAGTGTCTAAATTTGATTAATAAATTGCTGAAGCATTGTTTACTGGATAAATTACACATTGGATTCATGTGTAATTAAAATAAAAATAGGGATAAAGGTAAAATATTTTGGGAGGACATAAGCAAAAGTGGGAAGACCACTTTTTCCCCCCCTGGAGTTTTTAAGCAGGGGGTGTTCTGCAAGTTTTCTTGGTTTGTAGAGCAATACTTTCTTTCTGTACTTCGAAAGAACAATGGTACAATATTCGGTAACGGATTAGTGGGAAGTCGAGTGGAGCAGAAAGGATTCTGAGGCTCATCCAGCAACAGGTCGAGTTTTAGAAATCTCACCGTCGGAGCTCATCAACTATGACAAATCAAAGTGACGTAGCTGCCTCCACATACAAGAGTCTCAGGCTCCTGAAAATTATTTGCTGGGAGAAGCCACAAAGGACTACTCAGGTAGTGCCAGGATGACCCTTTAATCCCATTCATTGAGATCATGCGATTGCAGGTTAATTCAAATTCAGGAAGTTCTCCCTATGTTCTTGGAACACATGGTGTTCGTCACGGACTTTGGACCGTCAGTTCATCGCCCCGGCTTGGTTCACCGATTCTTTCCCTTTCGCCGGCACATTTTCTTTTAAACCCCTTTCCTTACGTCATAAGTCCCCAACTTCAGCTTGCGTCTCGCCCCCTCCCGACTTGCAGGGTCATGCCAGGTAACCGGCTCCCGTTAGGAAAAGAGACACGGGAAATCCTCCCTGGCGGAAGGGGGCGCTTTTCGCCTTTGTCAGAGCGTCCGCGGCGCTCCTCTCCTTGTTTCTGGAAGAAGTGTCGGGCAGGTTCCGCCTGGGCTCGTCATTCAGCCGCCGCGGGCCCGGCTCGAGTTCGACGCTGCTGCTGCTCCTCTTCCCCTCTCCTCTTCTGTTCTCCCGTTGGGCTGTGTGGGTGGGAGCGACTCTCGCTCTTCTGTTGGTTGACCCCCCGCTCTCGCCGCCGCCGCTCGAACGGGACGGTGCCTGCCTCTCCAGCGCCGCCTTCCTCTTCGTTCTCGAGCGGACCGGGGATCGGCTCCCCACCCCGCCCCCGGCGGAGACCATGGCGGCGAGCGCCAAGCGGAAGCAGGAGGAGAAGCACCTGAAGCTGCTGAGGGAGATGAGCAGCCTTCCGCCCAACCGCAAGTGCTTCGACTGCGATCAGCGCGGCCCCACCTATACCGACATGACGGTGGGCAGCTTCGTTTGTACTTCCTGCTCCGGCATCCTGTGAGTTGAGGAGAAGAAAGGGCCGACCGCTTGGCGGGAGGAAACGGTCGAGCGTTCTAAGTAGGCAGCGAGCGCAAGAGAGGAGGGAGAAAGCCCGGTTAGGCTGGGGAAGGGGTTTTGTGAGGAACCCTTCTGTTGGGATAGAGGACTTCGGCCTGCGTGAAGAGCGAAACAGAAGTGGAAGTGGGGATTTTTCCCCTCCCCGAAATACTAAGGGGGAGGGAGAGAAGTAAGGCAATACATTATCTGCAGAAAGAAATGTATGAGATTGAGGAGTTTGGACTGTTACTTTGGTCACCAGTAGGAATTTGCCTGATATTGCAGGCAGTTTGAGGTGGTCTCTCCAGGGCCAACAAAACAAAAAGCTGATAAAGAGAAAAGTACAGGATTAGAGATTGGGAAATAACCTAATATGGACATGTTCCCCAAGAGTACACAATACTGCTTAAAATGAGAGTTTGTTCCAGTGTATGTAATAAAATATGGATTATAGCAATGCAAAATGGTATTTATGGAAGCAAGTATGTAAACTTAATGTGCTAATTTTCTGATGGGGAAGAATCAGTTGTATTCTAAAGATATATAAAATGGAAGCAGAGAAACTTGTTGAATGCATTTTCAGAATGTAATAACTTGTTCATGCCTTTTAAAATATCTAACGGGTGTCAAACTGCCAGCCCCAGCCGTGGGCCGGTTGCATCATGTGGAGGCTGCGCCCACCCCAAGTCCGGCAGTGCAAAAAAAGCTGTGATACATCGCAACACGTCACGTGACGCAGCGAGTTTGACACCCATGATCTAACACAACATATTTTGAGGAAGTAAAAACAATAGGCAATATTAATTAAGCATATTAAAGGTTACTTTAAGGGCTTATAGCAGAAAACAGTTTCAACCTTTTGTTAATCTCTAAATTTGAGAGGTTAATATATTTTTATCACATGATCTACATAATTGCCAAACTGTGCACATAATTTTGAAAGAATATGAACTAGTTTTCATAGTCTGTGAAATTAGATAGCTGTCCAGTATATGTAATCTTCAGTACTTTTACAATTTTTTTCAATGTCATGTTACAATAGACAGATTTATTTTGATCATCTGTGACATTATTTACTAAAGTTACACCAATACACAGAATACCTGTGTTCTAGGTTTAGATGAAGATTTATTATCTGTACTAATGTAAATTGATCAGAATCTTGTTTATATAAAATTGTTTATATATGAGAAAAAATGGGAGAATTGTGATTTCAAATTTCTGAATTTTTCAAAGTGAATAATATGCTTTATTTTACATTGAAAATAATCAATTTTATGAAGTTGGTATTATGAAATAATGATGGAATAATAGAGGATTATCTGTTAAAGCAAAGATAAACTTTAGAAATATTTAGTATAACAATTGAGTGTAATCTTTTTAATTAGCAATAGTTAAGCTGTTAAGAATCCCACTAATTAATTCTGAATTGAATTGTACCAGCAATCCTTTACCAATTCAAACAAACATAGTTAAACTACTGCTGCCATGAAGGCATAAATACCTCCCAGTACAATATATTAATTTTGTATAAAGGTGGCGTTTCAGGCATTTTGAATCTTAACTTTTTTTTTTAAAATCAACCTTACTTCTTAGTGGTAGAGCCTCAGATTGCATATGCTGTCCTACTGTGATATTTGTTTATGAGTTTCATAATTGAGATTCATCTTCCCTTGTCTGATTCTATTAAAAATAATGACTAACATTCCCAATATCTTCAGCCAGCATCATTAATAGTGGTAGTGGTGGGTGTTTTAGAGTTGAGAGGTGTCAGGAGAGAATGAAGGCACCACATAAAGCTGACCCATTCTCAAATTTCTCTTTTGAAATCACAATATTTGGGGGAAAGCATGAGCTTCCTGATTGGAATCCTCAAGCTATTTTAAGCAGAATATTGTAATGCTATGTACATGTAGTATCTACATGTAGAGAATTACGACATTTGTTTCTAGAACCTTTATATTTCTAGAATACTTTCTAATAATTGTCTGTATATATAGCTGTATATGGCAAAATCATTTTCAAACACAAGTTCATAGTGTCTTAGTGAAGGTTATGTCACTCACAATCAAATGAAATAAACCTATTAGTTTGTGACATTTCTAGAATTTGTAATATATATTGCATGATAGTAAAATTCATAGTATTTCTAGCAAAATTTAATGTTTGGTTTCTCTATAATCAAAATGATTGAATTTTGAGTTCTCTAGCATTTTTATGTCTCTGATCCCGTACCATTAGTTAAAATTTAAACAGGTGAACACTTTGCTAGAAGAAAAGTTCAAATAATTTTTTTTAAGAAAGCAGACTAAAAAAATTCCATAGGAATTCTAAAAACCTGTATAATGCTTATATGTTTTAAAAAAGCAAATGTCTTAAAAGAGCTAATTAGTGGTTTCTGAACTAACATTTTAAATTGATAGCTATAGCCAAGTTCCGAGAACTGTAAAGTCATTTAGAAATATGTTATTAGGCCCTATTTTTCTACAATACTTGAATCAAAACTTATTTCAAAATTAAGAAACTTTTATATTTGTTATACCTCTTATGATTTATTAACTATAATACTATTTCATCACTAGTAACATTAAACTGTAGTTAAAAATTATTTTAACTTTTGAAAAATTTCTACAATCACTTTTTAAAAAAATATTTTATAGGAGAGGTTTAAATCCACCTCACAGAGTGAAGTCCATTTCAATGACCACATTCACACAGCAAGAAATAGAATTTCTTCAGAAGCATGGGAATGAAGTAAGTATTCAGTATAGAATACATAAGTAAATTAATGGAGAATACAATTTTAATGGGGGTATTAGTCAAAAAGATAAACAAGTTCTAAATAAGAACATGAAATTTTCTTGGGTTGTAATGTACTTTAAGTACACTGGTACTTGTGAGCTGAAATTGAACTCTAATTTGAACCATGTAGTGTGAATCTTTTGTCTAAGTTTCGTCGATGCATTTCAGCTTTTTCTCTGCCCTCTTTATTATTCAGCATGCTATTGAAGTGAATTTTTCAGCATGGGTGGAACTTCCTAGAAATATGGGTGGTATTTCCTCAGATGTTTATTCCTGTTAATATTGCATCACAGTAGTGCTGCTGAAGCATGTTACGGCTTTGTTTTATGGAATATAGAAAGCAAGAAATTGCTTAATGTTCTTAAAATTATCCAAATGTGTAAGACTATGAATTTAAAGCCTTTTTCTAGACATTAGCAAGATATTCCAAGTGCATGAATTCCAAGAAGCTTAGTCATAACACATAGCTTAAGTTACATAGTTATATTAGCTAATAATAATGGTAAGAAATGACTAATAAATCTGGAACTTTAAATCAACCATTATTTTTTAATTTGATCAGAGTTATTTTTTGGTAGATGTGACCTGGAAGGAAAGGGAGGAACAGGGAAAGGTGTGTGCACACCCCTGCGTGCACATGCACAAATGGGCATACACATGGCGTACTAGTGCCCGTGTGTATACACAAATGGGCCATGCGCACCTGCGGCAGCGCTGGCACTAGCGCCTTTGCGCATGTGCAAACAGCTGCTAGTGCCTGTGCTTTGGCGTGAGTGGGGGGTGCGCATACTCGCCAGCCATTCCTGTGGACAGGTGGCCATAGGCCACAGCTTGGTACCGGGCCGCGGCCCACAGGTTGGGGACCCCTGTATTAAGTGATCAGATGGATCAAATAATTTAATATTATTTCTCTTTGAAAGGTATGCAAACAGATTTGGCTAGGATTATTTGATGATAGATCATCAGCAATTCCAGACTTCCGGGATCCTCAAAAAGTCAAAGAATTTCTACAAGAAAAATATGAAAAGAAAAGATGGTTGGTACACATTTTACTATAATTATATTATAAAACTTTTTATAATAAAAAGAATTTGTATTATAATATATAGAACATTTCCTATTCTATTTCCAGTGGAATGCCTAATACTTGTTTTATTTGTATCAATATTTACCTTGTTGAGGTATTACTGGAAAATTTCTTACCAAAGTCAAATTAAAAATCATTGAATCCCCTTTGTCATGCATATTATAGTACCCCTACTAATTTTTACTATTGTGAGTACTGGTATTATTACTTTCTACTAGTAATTATCAATTAGCTTGCCCTTTTCCCCCTTAAGGTTAAAAGGCATTGTGAGCAAAAGTACTAAATATTAAACTAATTGGCCAAATCCAATGTTTGACTATTGTTCATTCTCCAGAACATGAAAATGTCCAGTTGAATTAATTTTCTGGTGCTGTTTCCCTGGAATATCTCTTAACAACCCCCACTCATTATTATGGTGGTGTTTTCTCAGGCTTAGGCCAGAAAGACTTTGTTTCCTTTTTATAAATTAACTAACACACACACACACACACACACACACACACACACACACACACACACCATCATGTCTTATTTGATTGCTTCTGCTTTAAGGAGATTAACACATAAAATAAAATTAAGTAAAATATTTTTGACTTAACATTTAAAGAGTGTGTGTATTTACAAATATTCACAATATACGTTTGCTTGATTTCTTTAAATATTGGTATAGTAAAATAGTAGAACTCTTGACTGAAGCAATTCTTAGGGCTATTTTTAACAGGCTGAAATTTTTCTTTTCCAGTATTTTTTAAGCTGATACTTGTTGCTAATATCTATTTTTCAGCTTTGTGCAATAGTGTATTTTGCTCAGCTTGTAATAGTATAGCTTATTAGGTATTACACATAAATACACATGGTTCCAGTTCTAGAAGTTGAACTTCAACCACTTAGATTATATTACTTCTATTTACGTTCACTATGTACCTTGTACATTTGTGATTTGTTTAGACCAGTTACATCTTAATATTTAGTGCATTTAAATTATATGCCAGTTAATCTTTTAAATCTTTGTTCTTACTCTTACATTATAGCTTTTATATCAAAGTGGGTTTATAATTGCTTAAGCCATATTGTTAATTCCAGCTCTCTAAAGCCTAGAATAGGATTGTTGCATCATCCTTTATTAATGATGGATTTGGGAAAGTTATAATAAATACAAATGTTTTAATTTGGCATTTTAGGTATGTTCCTCCAGAACAAGCAAAGGTTGTGGCTTCTGTCCATGCATCTATATCTGGATCTTCTGCTAGTAGTACAAGCAGTACTCCAGAAGTTAAACCACTTAAATCTCTCTTGGGAGAATCTGCACCAGCTCTGCACTTAAATAAAGATACACCTACCCAAGTAAGTAATGTATTTTTAAAAAGTGTGTGAAATTAACATGTATTCAGTAAAATATGTTACTTGGTGCATTGTCCATTACTAATAACTCTATTATTTAAAATCTTTCTTCAGACCCATATTTTCAGTTTATGCTATGTAGCTGTTCTGTATCACGTAATTTTGCCCTGATGGCTTTCAGGGAATCTATCTCCTCAACAATTCTACCCAATTGTACTTTATATTTCTATTGAAAATGTTAACAGAACAAACTATGTTTTTTCCATAGTGGCAATATCACTCATATTCTCTCTACTTCTTCATCCTTCAATAATCTGTTCCTTCAGGGGGGTTTCTTTTTGTCCACCTATATTTTGAGTTTTTATATAAAAGTTGCTCCTTGTTCTTTTAGGAGATCTACCTTGCATTTTCCCAATATCTAAGCTTCTATAGTACTGATATATTTTCAAGACTGAAAACCTGGCAGCTACGTGCCTTATTGTTTTCATCTTGTCATTAGAGTAAGGGAGAGGAGATGAGGCTTTGAATGGGTTAGTTAGAGAAGGTTTCCTCTCCAGTTCTGCAGATGTTTGTTGAGAAAAAGATGTACAGAAACTTTTCAAGGATTTTCTGACCACTGTGAAGAAGATAGCAGATGGTTCTCAAAACAATGAGAATGTGTTTACATGAACTATGTGTACATCTGGGAGGTTTGGCTGGGAATGTCATTGTTATATGCTTTGATTAGATGTCTTGGGATTTTAGAGTTAGTTTTCCTTCATCTATACCATGTCATGTATTCAATAAACCAGTAAGATTTTCAGAAATGAAAGAAATTTTGGACTTTATTTGGATATTCGAGCTGGAGGTTGTCACATATTTTCCCAACTTCCTAGTCTTTGATCTCAAATTTTTCACACATTTCTGTTTCCTCAATTAGCTTTACTAGAGTCTGAATTATATTGTGTGTCTCACACATGTGTTTGAATTTTTCATGCAATTTTGATGGAGTGCCTGATCTATAGCATATTATAGTGTAGAAATTAAATTGTTTCATTTGGATGAAAAGCAAGTTGATTTATAAAACTGATATTTTCTATATTAGGAATGATACTCTGGTTTGCTCTAGTTACTCCACTCCTGCTTGTTTAACCCACTGCAATTTGTTTATAGTCTCCTATTACAATTCGGTCTCAAGGGCAGTCACAAGAAAAGAAACAGTTTGATCTTCTCAGTGATCTTGGTTCAGACATATTTGCTGCTCCTGCTCCACACACCAGAGCTACTGCAAATTTTGCTAATTTTGCACACTTCAACAGTCATACAGGTAATTTTATTTACTATCTTGGGCTTGATAATGATTGAGCTCACGTGTATGTGTGTGTGTGTGTGTGTGTGTGTGTGTGTGTGTGTGTGTGTGTGTATGTGAGAGAGAGAGAGAGAGAAATCTAAAAATAAAATAGGAAACAAAGCCATGAAAACCAAACTTGCTGGCTTCTGTAATATTGGCAAGGATTTGAGAAAGAAGAAGAAATAGTCAAATTTGCTTCAGTCAAGGTCAAATAAAATAACATTTAAAATTATGAGATTATGAATCCTCCTAAATATAATAATTTAAGTATATAAAATTTAAGCAAAATAGCTAAAAGATAAAATGTACAGTACATAATTATCATGGGAACAAAATGGACAAATTGTGAATTTATGATTAAAATTATTAAAATTACATATGGTAATATATTACAATTAATCTATAAAACAGTAGCTATATGTTCTTATGAATGTAATATGATAAAATATTCAGTGTTATCTATGGAAATAAAAATGAAAATAATCATTCTATGCTAATAGGCTAAAAATTAAGACTGCTAAACAAAGTTATTAGAAGATTAAACCTAGTATATAGAAATACAATCATGCAGTTTAATAAGGAAGTAATGTATTAGTTTTACTTAACTCTTACCAGCAATCAGTTTCCTGCCAATTTTATGTTGGGCAAAATTATGATCAGAAATAATTGCAAATACAGAATTAATATGGCCAAGAAGCCGTGGCTATATTGAGGTACAAAATTTTCAGTCTCTATAAAATGAGCAATACAGAAGTGCTTAAGAATTACTAACTCACAAGGTCATACAAGTTCCAAGAAACAAGTTCTCCTATATCTATGACATGCTTTTGGTAAAGGTCTTTTTGTCTTCAAGAACTAGTAGCTAGCCAAGACAAATCCCAGGGGTTATTCTGTCCTTTGATTATTGGTAAAAGGAAGATTGGGACTCCTGTTTAAATCAGTTTGGTGATTGTCCTTTATTGATCTAGCTTACTTATAATCAAAGGAAAGCAGGTGGGGAGGATAGAACCCTAATAGTGGTAATAGTAGTCACACATTTAATATCTTTGAGGATATTAACAATATTAACCACGAATGCAGTGGGGGGAAAAAAGCAATAAACAATAATGGGAGAACTCTCATGATTTGTACTCTATTGCTTTATATGACTCGTGTATAGACATATATTTCTTTTAAAATAACTGAAGAAGAGCTCATGTTCTATAAAAGATCAGATGCCAGAGCTGTCAAAAAATCTAATATTCAGCATGTCAAATGCTTATTTTTCTTTTCTTTTTTTTTTGATACTGACTGAAATTCTTTAAATCATCTGTAGGACAGGAATAAAGTCTTCCTTGTATGTTTCTGTGTGTGTTGGAATGGGTGGGAGGACTGTAACATGCTTTTTAAAAAGCATTTTCAGCACAGAGTTCTGATGTCTGAATCTCAGAAGTGGTTGAATGGCAGGAGAAGAATTCCCCCCCCCTCTTTTTTTTAACTTAGAGCTATTCAGCTATGGAGATAAATGAAATAATGTGAGCTCTTAAGCACCATTCCATTCTTTTCTTAAAACACTTTAATGTGCAAGTTAACCTTGAAGATAAGGACAATTTTCTATTGGTGGTACTGGACCCTTGTAAATCCTCTCTTCCATTTCCCCCATTCACAGGGAATCTGCTACCTGATTATATAATGACTTGTCAATGTCATTATACCTTTAAAAAGAAATTGGAGGAAGAAGATGTCTCCCATAGTCATTATTTAGTTTGCAAACTGGTCTAAGTCATTTTTGTTGAAGTCAGTAGTTAACTAATAATAGTTAATTATAATTATTAGGTAATTATGGATTGTTTTAACTTGTTGTAAGCTATCCAGAATCATTTGTTCTATGAGATGGACAGTTGTATAAATTAGATAAATAACTAAATTAACACATAAATGAATATTCTGTGCATGCTGTTTATTATTTTCAGTTTGCTTAAACGTTTAACTTTTCTGTACTATTATGTAAAATAGTTTTTCTAAATCTATTGCTGTAGAAATTCTAGTAATTATATTCCAGTGCATATGAAGGTCACCCTTGAGTTATATATTTAAAAAGGATAAAAATGTAATAATCATAATATTCCTAACTCTTACAAGACTTCTGGAAGGCAGGTCTTTACTTCGGTGATGAGTAGTTAACAGTACAGGTAGGACTGACTTAGTGATCATAGTTGGCACCAGCAGTGGTCTCTAAATCAAACTGTGATTGTTCTATGGTCTTAGCTCAGCTTTCCTATAAATGCAAGGATTGATCGTAGGTACTTTTTCATTAGTGTTGTAACTGCAAAGGGTCACCAAATTAGGCAGTTGCTAAATGAGGACTCCCTGTAATTGAATGGGATTAAATAAATTTGTAGCTACAGTAGTCGCAATTCATATAGCTATGGAGAGTAGAGTAAAGAATGCCCTATTTTTAAGGAAGGGCATTAATTTTGATGTTGGTGACATTTACAAGATGTTTCATAGAATCCTTGTAATTGGTTGGAGGATGAATCAATTTCAGTCCAATTTCTTTCTTTTTTTTTCCTGCACCCTTCTCCCCTTCAGAGCAGAGGGATTAGAGAGGAAGTACGCATCAAAAACAGTGCAATTATGCTGGGAACCCCAGGCATACTCTGTAAAGAGCTTGCAGTACTCTTGTAATCCTTTCCTCTTCAATCTCTCTTTGTAGGGGGTGAGAGAGAGAAAAATAAAGTGATTTCTGTAGGAATCTCTCTTTTATCTGACTCTTCCCCCATTGCAGAGATTGGAGAGTACTGTAAGCAGTTTGTTCTTCTACACATTGAAAATAACATGATCATGCTGGCAGCAGAAAGGGTCAGGAAAAGGTTAGAACACTAGTGCAATCAAATTATTTTTGATGTAAGTAAACAGGCACTGGAGCATTCCAAAGAACAGGGTAGTCTTTAGGAGGCAAAAACAAAAACTGAAGGTGTGAAACTGAGTAGTCTTGTCTCTTTCCAGTTGGAAAGCCCAGTTGCAGATATGTGATTTCTCACTTAGCTACTTCTTTGCTTAGTGGCTGAGTTGCAGATCCCAATTAGGGTTGTTAAGCCTTATTCCTATTCTAATACCCTGTAACTATCAAAAGTAGTTTCATGGAAATGTAAAAAAGACTTTTCAGAGGCTGCTTCTAGACCAGTGGTTCTCAACCTTTGAGTCGGGACCCCATTTGGGGTCGAACGACCATTTCATGGGGGTCGCCAAACAAGGCTGTCCGCCATTTTTCCCCCTTTTCTTTGGCCACGCCCCTGGCACCCAGTGATGTATAAGTGGTTGGGGGTCACCACAACATGGGGAACTGTATTATGGGGTCGCGGCATTAGAAAGGTTGAGAACCACTGTTCTAGACTTTGAAAGCCCCTGCAAAGAGTACCAAAACTTGGTTTCCTCTCATTAATCTTTCCATTGGCAACAACTGTTTTTATTCAGACATGTCGTTGATAGTTTAATATGATTTTTTTAGCACTGTTTTTGGCGGTAAATATTTACTAATGTGTTTTATGTTTTAATTTTTAAAGCTATTAATCTGCTTATATTTTAACATTTAAATGTTACATTAACAATCTCATTTTTACAATTAAAGCAATATGTTAATACAATACACTACATTACATACTTATACTCTTAGATACTATATAGTAATTAGCTGACAGTTACTGTTCAGTAATATGAGAGGCTGCTTTTCATCTAGATTGAACAATCCCGTAAACTCTCAAGCTTATAGAAGCATTTACTTATGCAAATGATTGTAATATATCTTTATTAAGAAAACATTTTGGTTTTCACTTTATTTCATTATGTGATATATTAAAGGTAAATTTATTGTAGTCATAAGTAATTTTTATTTATGCAGTGTTCTCAAATTTGAAAATGATTTATATCATAGCTTTATGCAATTATATACATGGTTTGCTTTATTGTCATAATATTTAATGTTTTATGTTGGTTATTAAGTAATTCTCAGAAATCAATAGAATTATGGTTTGTAAGCTCAAGAATATGTAAATTCTAGTGGTTTAACAGTTTCATGCATCTTGGAGAAGTATTATAGCATTTCTCATTTTTAATGCTTTTGTTCATATACATGGAGAATTGCAAAACTTGTTTTGGATTTTGCCAAAAAGTTTTGAAATTATAAAATTACTTTTTAGAGAAAATTTAAAATAAAAGTCATAAAAACACAAAGAGATAGTTTTCTATTATCTCCCTGACAGTGATAAGACAAGATAGAACTTTGGAGGGAAACCATGTCCTCCTTTGCTAAACTACAACTCCTAAGAGTACAGGCTAGCATGACCAATAGAAAGAGATTTTAGAAGTGGCAGTTCGGCAATATCTGTAAAACCATTTGTTCTCACATCTCTATCATAATATACTTCAGATCATAACAAAGATATCATAATATAAATCATAATATATTTCAAATCAAATTGCCTCAGCTAAAATATGTGGCCTGGATCTCACACATAATCCTGAACTATAAACTTTTTTTTATGATCGTGTAATCCCTATACTACATATATATATATGAGTCCTGGTGGCATAGTGGTTAGAATGCAGTATTGCAGACTAACTCTGCCCACAGCCTGGAGTTCAATCCTGACAAGGCTCAAGATTGACTCAGCCTTCCATCCTTTCAAAGTCGGTAAAATGAGGTCCCAGATTGTTGGGGGGAATAGGCTGACTCTGTAAACCGCTTAGAGAGGGCTGTTAAACATTATGGAGCAGTATATAAGTCTTAAGTGCTAATGTTATTGCTATTGCTGTTACTATATTCTGGGTAGGCATCAGGATACACCTCTACCCTGAATATTGAACTATAATAAATGTTACTTTATTTTGGATTAGAACAATATGTGAATTCATCTTATGTAATAGATTTATGGTTTGCAAAGTACACCTAATTCCATTTTTGTAAACTAAAAAATAACACTATTATGGCTTAGCAATATGTATAATTTGTTTTTCTTAAAATTAGTTTGTGGGGTTTCAGAAAAAAAATAGTAATAACCAGGGTATAGTATAATAATGGGATCACAAAATGGTATTTTCATTTCTGTTGATATATTAGATCTAAAATATTTTTTTATATAAATAGAATTAAAAGAACAGCCATTTCCATGTAGGATACCTTTGCAAAATATATATAAGAAAATGTTTGTCCTGTACATTGTACTTTCAAATAGTATAGTTATCCTAAAGTATAGTTATCATGTTCTGTTCACTTTATCTTTTGCTTTCATACCATTAACATATTTTTGTTCATTTGAACTTTACAGCGCAGAACTCTGCAAACGCAGGTTTTGCAAACTTTGATGCATTTGGACAGTCTAATGCTTCGAGTAATTTTGGTGGTTTCCCCACAGCAAGTCAGTCTGCTTTTCAGCACCAAAATACAGGTAGAAATGCTTTAATGTTGTTAATTCTCTTAATATAAACTAATCTGGACACTATAGTTGGAATATTTCTTAGATCTCCTTGTATCTACTTGTCTTAACACATATAATCTGAAGCTCTGGGGAAACCTGAAAAATGGATGTTCCTTTTCTTTTGCTATATTTGGTGTGGGTTGTGTTCATGCATGAAGTTTTTATATTATAGCTTCTGAATTACTCCTATACATGATGTAAATACTATTTATTAGAAAAATATTGGATCATATCTAAGTTAAAAATCTTTTTTTTCTCAACCAAGATACATTGATTTGGCTAAAATACATCATGTGTAAGGACTTGTTTTCTTCCTCTTTATTTGTTTTATGCTGTGATAATTTTTCCTGGAATGTTAATTGGTATGTCTTGATCTGTGGTTGATCACTTTTCTGTTTCATTTTCCTTGTTTAAAAACGCTTAAGATTTCTTTTAAATTTTTTGTTTTTCCTTTCTGTTAACTTTAACCCCTCACACAATTTCTGGCTGTCCAGCGTTCAGAACGCTTTCATCTAGCTGCAGTTTTGGTGACTTTACTACTTCTGCTTTCCCTGGCCAGGCTATGCGCAGTAAGTTCCACCAAGGTGGGAAACTCAGCTCATTTAATTTACAGTGACATTTTATCTCATTTCCACTGTGTCATGTTCAGGTTTTCTTACTTGTTCTTCTTCAAAAGATGCTACCTAATAGTATATGCTTGCTACTAGTACATTGGCTTACTTGCACTTGAGAATGTATCCCACCAAACGTAGAGAGTAAAAGTCATAGTTACAATGGTTTTCTTTATGCAAGTAAGTGGAAAATGTAACACAATTTTTAGTATTCACAAAAATCTCAAACATTTCAGGTTACTGTATAATATAGTTTAATTTTTTATATAACATTGATTCTACATTCCAGCCTCTTGTGCTGGTTCCTATGCCTGTCTTTGGAGCTTTATTGGCCCACGCTTTTTGCAGCTGCTGCCAAATGCCAGATCGGCCTTTAATGATGCTAGTTCCCCTTTCTCCACAATCTGATAATGGATGAGAGGACCAGCCTAGAATATATCACCAAAATGTTCCTGCGCACTAAGGGAGGTGTTCCCACAAGCCATGACTCAGGGCAAGGGCAGTGGAGTTATCACAATTAACCAAGAGACTTGGTGGCTTTTAGCAGCACTGCTCTGCAGAGGGTATGAAAACAGTTGATAATGATTGTTGACTCTAGAGATTAAATGGGATTTCTGCTACTGTTCATCATCTCTTCTATGAACTGTTTGATGCTATGGTCAAGTTGCTAGTAGAATTTCCAAAATTTAGTACTTGAGCAATGAAGGGCTTTAATTTGCCTTTCCCTGGGACAAGGTGAAATTGGCTTGGGAGTTCATAGCCACCATGGATTTCTCCCAGATTAGTGAAGGCTCAATTCATGGTAGCAGTCATGGTTATAGAACTGTTCTTTATCTCAGGCGCAGACAATATGATCTGTAGTTGAGAGATGTTTTTGTCCATTCTTGTGATCAGATCACTCCCAGGTAGCCTTGGAGTTATCTGTAGCTGGTCTGTACTACAGAATAGAAGAATCCATCTGATTGGTCTGTCCCAGGTGCCTGGTGGATCCCTTTGGATTTCAGAGGAATTTAGAGTCTTCTCTGAAGCTCTGCGCAGCTCAGCTAAGGCTTTATTCATTGCTTGGAACAGCCTTGTAACATATGTGCCTATAAGATTCTGCTGTGGATTCTGAAAAGTTCCTAGTTTTTAGAGTAACCCTGGCAATTGAAATAGGAGAAGAGGATCCTGGGGAGGAACAGAAAGCATTTGTTAAGGATTACCTCATGATGATAAGAGCAGCTCTTTATTTTTCTGCACTTTATCATGTCCACAAAGAGGGCTGGTAGCCCTGTTCAAGGTGATCTGGTCCCTCCTGGACAAAGACGGTTCTGAGGAAGGCTGCAAGGCTCTGTGAAGACTATTTAGTACATGTGTTGGATAAAGTCACTTGGATTCACTCTGAATTGGATCAGCTGTTCAAGTCCTTTGGGATTGACTGTGATATGTTTTTGTGATATTTCTGATAAGATAAACAGGGGCCTTGGGGTGGGAAGTGCAGCTACCTGAATATTAGATCCACAACCCTCATGGTTGGTCAAAAGTTCCTAGGAGATGATGTGTGGTTATATCCACAAAGTAGTAAATGCATCCTTTAGGGAGGAGATGATTATGACTGGAAAGTTCCTGTAAAGGTAGTTGTGTTTCAGATCGGGATATAGTGCTGAAAACATATTGATATATATGTATACGACTTTTGGTGGGATCAGTAAGGAGGCAGCGCATCCATCCTGGCCTTCCTTGATCTTTCAATGGTTTTCAACAGCACTGAACATAGTGTCCTTCTGGATTGACTTCAGAAAGTTAAGGTTAGGGGAAAGTTAGTTGTCTGTTCTCTGCAACCAATTCCAGTTGATGCTAGTAGGGGAAGAGATTCAGCCCTACACTCTAGCTTTGCAGCATCTTCAGGGCTTTACACTCTCATCTCCTATTCAGCATTTATATGAAGCTGCTTGGTAAGGTCATCCATAGTCACAGGATTAATATCAATTAGACGAGGATAGACAGCTATCTATATGTGACCAGGGATAGTCAAATGGAGCTATCAGTTTCCCCCAATGTTTGGAGGCTAAAGGGATATGGATGGTGATACATGTGCTTCAGGTCAGCTATGGTAAGTGACTGTGGTTTTTAGGATACCTGAAGCTGGAGATTTTCTGTCTTTAGTTCTGAATGGAATCCCACTCTCCCATACAGAACTAGCATGTACCTTGAAGGTTGTCTTGTACTTGTGGTTCTTGTTTGAAGAGCAGGTGACTACTGTGGCAAAAGGGATATCTGCACAACTCCATCCTATGCAGTACAGTTGGTTGGCTGAAAATACTGCAGCATAGGTGGTGGTGGGTGCACCATATAATATACATGTAATATATTCATGAACTGCACTGGTTTGGGGTTGTAATTTGTGATACTGATTATCGCTTATAAAACTCTTCATAGTACAAGTACAAGTTGGGATTACATATCTATGTCTGTCAATCCTATGAGATCCAAGAGAGTGGACATATTTAGGTTTCCTCTATGAACTAGTGTCATCTGATGTGACCCTTCTCTGTCACAGCACCTACCCATTGGAATAATATGACCTTTGAACCTGACTGTGTTAGTGTTCTATAAAGTTTGAAAAACCTGTTTTTTTCTCAGCATTAGGCCAGAATGTGGGATGAACCATCTAGTAAATGTTTTTGATCTCTGTAAGTGTTGTTTTATGCTGAGTTTTTCAATTTTTATTTTTATTGTTTCTTTTATGTTTCAATCCCATGTTAGTCACCCAGAATCAGTTTCCTAATTGGATGGCCATATAAATTGTGTAAATAAATTAAAAAATGATATTCTGGGGTTTGAGAACCAATGTGATACAGTGTTAAAGAGCTGAAAAGGGTGGGAACACTCAGGTTCTAGCCCTTCCTTAAGCATGGAAATTGGCTGGTAGCCTTTGGGACCAGTTACTCTCAGCCCTTCAGTGGGCAAATGAAAACATATCTAGCAACCTGCACTGGATCAGAGTAATAGATTTTTGACCCTGACCTTTAATGAAAAGGCCTCTATCCAGCCATGAATTGGTTTGGATGATGTTATTATTGCTATTTATTCTAGCATGTTAATATAGAACCAGTCTGGCCTTTCAAATATTTTTATAATTTCCTTACCCAATCTACAGCCAGCAAAATAATCACTAAATTACAACTTCCAGTGGCTCAAACCATTGTGACTAGTAGTGAAGATGCTAGGAGTTATAGTTTAGTAGCATCTGAATGCCACAGTTTTTCACCTCTTATTTTTGTGGAAGAAGAGTGCATGTACTAATCTCTTCAAAGGGAAAGAGAGCTGTGTAATCAAGCACCAAACATTAGCATTCACTTTTGCAGTTTGAAGTTTAAAACATTGAATATTTGATTGCCAGAAGTAGTAATGAGGATTTTGTTCCCTACTAATATAATTCACTCCTCTTTAGCTCTCCTGCTTTTAGTTCTTCATAGCAATACGGTATTAAAAATTACAAAGAAATTAGACCATGCTAAATTGATATGAAGTGATATATTTACTTCTTAATTAGATAGTTTTTTAAAAAAATTAAAGACATTGTGCTGTTTATCGGAACTTATCAAATATCTTTTATTAAAGAAATTTCAATTTAATTTAGTTGCAGAAAGAGATAAGAGCCTAAAACAAAACCATGTTTGTGTGAATCATTGAGGCTAGTTTTGCTGCAACATGCATTTCCATCACTTTGCTCTAAGGCTGATAAGGCTAGGGCTTCCAGATTTGGAATTTAAAATACCTGTTTTAACCAATAAAGATTTTGAAATAGAGAAACTTTATAAAAAGTGCGACCTATAAGTACATTAGCACACATGGTGACCAAATACATTTAAAGAGACTTTCAATGAGCTTGAAAACTTTTTAACTTATTTTGTTGCAGGTGGGAGCGCTGGATCAGTGAATGCTAACTTTGCACACTTTGATAACTTCCCCAAATCCTCCAGTGCTGATTTTGGAGCCTTCGGTGGTTCTCAGAGCAACACAACTGCAGCCAGTAAAGCTGTAGTGAATAAACCATGTCTCCAGTCAGCAGATAAATACGCAGCTCTTGCTAATTTAAATAATATCTTCACAGGGCAAGGTACTAATTCTTATTCTTTGACCTGTTCTCTTACACTATTTATCATGGCTATAGTTTGTTCTGTGATGTACTATTAAATTCCATGAGATTTTTAGTAATTCTTATTACGAACAATCAATATCAGTGTTGCCTATAAAACCTAAACCATGTTACTTGCAAGTTTGAGACACTGGAATTTATGCAAACTTAGTTATTCTGGTGAAAATAAGGGTAATGTAATAAAAATATTGATATGTACTGTTTTTTCTTGATATAATGCATCGGAGGCTACTTCTGTTCTACCAGTTGTTGAACAAGTTATGTATCTGAGGCACTGGATATTTTTACAATATAGTTACTATCAAGAATTTTAGCATATGGTAATTATAGTGATCATACACATAGGGTTTTGTGCATAAATTCACAAAAATCTTTATTCTGTTTTTAAATCATTTTGCCATTTATTCATGATGAAATTGCTAAAAAAAAGCCCACCCTGTTATACAGATAGTTCTCACTTAATGACTACCCTGTTTAGTGACCATTCAAAATTACAATGATGCTGAAACTTTATGAGTGTTGCAGCATCCCTGCAGTCACGTGTTTGAGATTTAGGCACTTCACAACCAGTGGCATTTATGACCGTTACAGCATCCTGCGGTTGCATGATTTCACATGTTAAGTAGTTCTCTGCCAACTTTCGACCAATGGAGAAGCCAGCAGTGAAATTGTGAAAGGTAAAAAGTTATGATCAATTTGCACATTTATGACCACTGCAGCATCCCCGTAGCCATGTGGTCAAATTAGGTGTTTGGCAACCGGCATGTATTTATAATGGTTGCAGCATCCTGGGGTCTTTGGATTGTCATTTGTAATCTTCTTAGGAAGCTTCTAACAAACAAAGTCAATAGGGGAAGCCATTGCTTAAAGACCGCATGATTCACTTAATAATTTCAGTGAATCACTTAACAACCATGGCCAAAAAGTCATAAAATGAGTCACTTAACAACTGTCTTGCTTAACAATGGAAATGTTGGGCTCTGTTGCGGTCGTACATCAAGGATTACCTCTATGTGAAGGTGAGTGTATACATGTATATAGATGGACACATCGCTATAATAAGTTTCTCAGGGCAGTTCACAGCTTTTCTTATTTGCAGTCACCAACTGCAGTCTTGCAAGATTGATTGTTTAATTAGTTTTGTTAAGTTGCCCTATGTAGCTGTAAATCTGTAAGCAAGATTATCTACTATCTAACCAGATTAGCTATGATTTTGTATAACTTATTTGAAACTTACAGTAGTTCCTTCCTCTGGAATTTTATCTTAAGTTAAGCAAGTGTATTTGTCAAATCAAGCATGTTTAAAGTATTCTGGATAATCAAGAAAAACCATAAAACCATAGTTTTGTAATTGCTGGAAGAAAATTCTGTAAACATATGGTACACAAAATTCACTTTATGGACCTAGAGAATCTTAAAGCATATAATTCTAAAGCACCCACTAGTCGTAATTTATAGGATAATGAAATATACTAATCAAAAACTGGCAGCTATTATTGCACAATACAGTTAATGTGGTTTATAGTGCTGTACCTACTAACTTTTCAGAAATATAATTTTGTTGATAGTATGTTACTGAAACAATTATAATCATGGTTTTATAGAGAATATATATATATATATATATATATATATATATATATATATATATATATTAACAATTACACTACCGGCATTTTGAGCCCTGATGATGTCAGCAGTTGCTGACGAAAGCTAGGCGTTTTATTAATTTTTATGGTGATTTTATTGGTATTGTATTAAATTTTACTAAATTTTACTAAAATTTTTAAACATTCCCTGGTGCTCACGTTTATTTGCTTGGTTTTAAATATTTATGTCCTTAATAGTTATAAAAATACGAATCCCGGGCATATTGTTCAATGATGCAATCTTCGATCTCCGGGAAGAGTATACTCCAGTTATTTATTGTTAGAAGGAGGGTTTAACAGGAATGGATGTTGGCATGTGGGAACAGCATGTAGGACGGCAGGTCAGAGGAGGAGGAATGCTAGAAAAGAGAGGATGGACAGAAATGGATGAACAACAGGCAAGTCAGCAGATGATGGTGAGGACATTGGAGAAGGGAAGATGGACAGTGGGGGAGGAGGGTAAACAGGAACAGCAGATAGAGCAGCGGATCAGGAAGGAAAAGATATTGAGGAAGAGAACATCAATAAGAATGGTCGATGAAAGGCAGGAGCAATATATTAATCAACAGGTGGGAGGGTTGAAGGAAGGGGGGGGAAGGATGACAGGAATGGATAACAAAGGGTGCATGAATCGGCAGGCTGGGAGAGGAGGGGGGTTGGAGGAGGGAGTTGAAATAGAAACCAGCAATGGTATGCAAAAACGGCAGGCAGATCATCAGCCCAACAGGATTCGGGTAGTGCCGAGTCGGAGGAGGCACCTTGCATTGGATAAGGAGGAGGGATTGGAGAGTGTGCTAATGATAACAGCGCAGGGAGGGGGAGACAGCACAAGGATGACAAAGCAGGAAAATACAATGTTAGAGTGCAAAAAAGAGAGGGCAGAACAGGCAAGGCAGTCACAGGCAATCAGGAAGACTGGCCCTGTCACGAGGGCAATGAGTAGGCAGTTGGATCAGCAAGGGGATAAAAAGAACTTCCCACCTCCTAAGCCCCACTCTGAGGACGCTGGCAGAGGACCAGCGAAAGCTAAGTTGTTTTAATTCTTGTATATAACTGTTTTTATTGTTTTAAATGTTGTTTTAACAATAAATAACTGGAGTATACTCTTCCCGGAGATCGAAGATTGCATCATTGAATATATATATTTCTAAAATTTGGATTGCTAGCAAAGAATTAAGGGAGAACTGGAATAGCTATTTCAAACTCTTTAGCTCTTTTCAACTAGACATACCCTTCTGAGATTCGAACCTGGGCTGTCTGCATGTTAGGCAGCTGTATTAAACCTCTAGGCCACAGGCTCTGTCTCACTTTTGCCAGCTGTGTTAGGGAGGGAAGAAACGGGAGGAGTTAGATTTTTCTCTCCCATATTTGGGCAACAGGGTGTAACATACAGCATCCTATATATATATATACCCTTAAATATGCTGATCTATGCATTAAATAGAAACATATCAGTGGAAATGAAATGTTTTTCTTTGAAGTTTCCTGTTTCCAATGTGCAGTGATATTCTTTTCATTTTTTATACCATCAAGTCAAAATCAGCACACGAATGATTATCCACATGGTTTTCATATTGTGACGAACCATTCACATGTAGCAGCTATTTGTTTGGCTCAGGCCATTTCTTCACACAGTTACATGGAACTTTTTTTATTCATTGCTGGATTATAGAAATAATAGCTATGTTTTATATGTTCAGTTTAACTGCATCAGTGAGAAGTAAAACTAGTTATCTACATGAAAGCCATAAAATGTGTACAGAGCCTACAATATTCTCTCTTATCTATTTAATCTTAAGTATATGCTGTCTGTAGTTATGTGGCATTAATTTAGAATTTTCCTGAGTGGGAACTCTTGTACAGCTTTTTTCCTTCTCAAAAAAGATGAATAAGTGGCTATGTATATAAAATATTTGAAAAATAAATCTCTTTCCTTCCCCAAAAGTCTTTTATTGAAAATATGATTTTCTGTTTGCTTTTTTTTAAAAAATGCTTATTCTCTAATGCTTCTAGAGAATTGGCTAACTTGCATTGTGAAATATTGTGTGAATGCTTAATGCGGTACTTTTTTTCTCAGGTGGTAATGAGCAAGGAAATGGCTTTGCTGCCGGTACAGTACCAGCAGCTCCTGCTGGGTCAGCTCCAAGTCAAACAAGTACATCTTCAGACAAGTATGCAGCTCTAGCAGAATTGGATAGTGTGTTCAGCTCCACCGCAACCACTAGTAATGCATATACTTCCACCAGTAATGTTAGCAGGTAGTCTTTCTTGATAAAAGTTTAATGTAAATCATTTGTGTTTAAACAAACCAAACATGAAATGGCATTCAAAAGTATCTAATTTTTCCAAGTTTTTCAAAAAATATCAGATACTTTTGAATTTGATTTCATGAGAGTCAACAAGAACAAACCATTATTAGAATAGATCCATATCTCATCTCCATTTTAAGAATTATATTGTCTTTGCTCCCGTATCTTATCCTGAAATGAGAAATATTCTGTTGCCTGCAAAAATACAGGTAATCCTCAACTTACAACTACAGTTGAGCCTAGAATTATGGTTGTAAGTCATGGTGTTCATTAAGCAAGGTATCCATATGATCACTTTGCTTACCAATCACAATCCATGCTCTCCCCATGGCAGTCATTAAGTGGAGTACAGGTTGGGGGAGGCCTTGGGAGACAGCATTGTAGCACCACCTCAAGCCCCATATGGCTTGCCAGGACCTCCTGAGGCACTTGTGTTTAGCTTTCTCTCCTGTGGATAAGAATTGTGGCTGCTCTCAAAATAGTGCATACTTCTGATATGGCACCACATGCCTCTGTGTACTGTAGGAAGGGTACGGTGGATCGGCCCCTTCTCTTTCTCAAATGTGATCTTCAGAAAAGGTAAGCAAAGTGTGACAGCAGAGAGGAGGCCCAAGAGTGTGTTGGGATCCAGCTGGCTGGGAAATAGGCCCAAGGGATGGGATACAGGGTAGGATGGGGAAGAAGATAGGTGGGTGGGGCCACTGTTTTTGCAGATAATTGTAAGGGCAGACAGATTGCCAGGGGCAGACAGATTGCCAAACATCCTAATTTTGTTCACATTTTCACAGCAGCCATAACTTTGAGTACAGGTCATTAATCCCTTTATTGAATACTGTTGTAATTTTGAATGGTTGCTGATTAAACAGCCGTAAGTTGAGGACTACCTGTAGTAGCTCAAAAACCTGTCCTAAAAATACTGTCAAGTTACTTTGCTGGAACAAACTAGAAACTATATTTTCAGGATTAATCATTAACATTTCTAATGTCTTTTATGAACATTTACATTTGTAATCCTCTTTTAATTTTAATCTTATGCTCTCTTAATAGGAAAATACATGCCATCTTTAGTGACATTCCTGTCAAATAAAATAAAACTTTTGTTCTGAATTTAATTTCTCACCAGTTTCTTTTATTTTTTATGCATGTTGCTGGCTGCCTGGAGGTCACAGTTTTTAATTTTATTTAGCATCATTTTGAAAATGATTGCAAATCAAATCAGATTGTCTCTAAAGCTCAGTTAAGCTGAATTTTATGTTTCATGTACAATGATTAGCTGAAAATGTACAAATGTACAACTGATGAATATGAATTATTTCCAGTAGTGCTTTTGGAACAGTTCCAGTTGGTGCTAATACACAGACGCAGTCTGCATCATCCAGTGTTCCTGCTCAATTTGGAGGTATTATATTATTATATAATCTTTCTAAACACTGTCTGATAGATTGCATGATTATATTTTAGATGGCATCCATCAATAGGTATAGAAATGCATTTAAGCTAAGACTATCTGTGAGACAGTTTGTATCTGTTCATAATCTAAACCAGTGTGTTTTATATAAGAAACAAAATGGAGAGACTTCTGGTGGGAGAATGGCAATTTATTGTTTCCAACAGTCTTGGAGACAAGGTCATAGATTTATTCACTGCACAGCAGGAGGGCCTTTTTTTTCCTTCCAGATTGAAGGAGGAAACCTCCAGAAGTTGGCCCATTTGTCCTCTGGATTGTCACTCCTTGAGAGTAAATTGTGGAAACAGGTTTCTTTGATTCACTTGTGAGTTGAGTAATAGGAGGTAGGATATTCATCAAGTTCACACTGCGGTGAAGCTGAATTTATGGACACTAGAACCAACCTAATTTCTAAATCACTTTTGAGATTTATTTATTTTTGCAGTTATGGAGAGACTTAATTTTTGGAACAGATTTAGTACTTCATTTTGGTGGCTGTATTACTGGCACTACACTTGGATTGAAACATTGGAAATTTATACTTTCTGGACTTACAAAAAGTTGGAAATTAAAGAGACTTAAAATATTCAAATAAAAAGAATTTTATTTTTGAAAGACTGAAGACAGAACAACAGAAGAATAGGATTTAACAGATGACTACAAAATAAGTGAACAGTGTGGCCAGTTAGTAGTGAAGGCAAACAAACTTTTGGGATGCCTCACTAGAGGGATTACCAACAGGAAAAAGGAAGTCTTAATCCTGCTATATTGGGCTTTAGTCAGACCCCATTTAGAATACCGTGTCCAATTCTGAGCACTTCTCTTAAAAAAAGATATAAGATTGAACAAGTCCAGAGACTGGCAACAGAAATGAGTCAAGGTCTGAAGGATAAAACATATCAGGAGAGATTAGAGAAGCTGAATATGTACATTCTGGAGGACAAAAGGGAAAGGGGGAACAGTTAAATATATTGAAACATTTAAATATATTAAGGGTGTGAATTAGATACTAATAGGCATTGTTTTCATTAACTAGAAATCAAGAACATGGAGACATAACCTCAAATTGACAGGAGGGAAGTTCAAAAGTAATGTTAGAAAGTATTACTTCGCAAAAACAGTAGTGGGAGCTTGGAACCAACTTACAGCAGAGACAGTATGTTAATTATCAGTGACTTTAAACATGCTTGGGATAAACATGTCCATCATCTGGCAAAAATTAAAAAAACAAAAAATAAAATAAAAATAATTAGAAATAATAAATAAATTAAAAAATAAATAAACCAAAAACACTGTGCTGTGGTGGTACAATATTGCAGGCTAAATCTACCCACATTGTGGAGGTCTATCCTGACCAGCTCAAGGTTAATGCAGCCTTCCATCATTCCAAGGTTGATAAAATGAGGAACCAGATTTATTTATTTATTTATGAGACTTATATACCGCGTTAAGTGCAAGCACTCTCTAAGCGGTGTACACCAGTAAGCAATGTATATATATATATATTTACATTCCCCCCAACAATCTGGGTCCATATTGCTGGGGGCAATATGCTGGGATTGTGAACCACCCAGAGAGTGCTGTAAAGCACTATGGGGGAACATATAAGTCTAAGTGCTATTGTTAAAAACTCAAAGGGCAGGCTCGATGGACCACATGATCTTTTTGTGCCATCAGTTTTCTGTGTTTCTATGAAAACTGAAAACTTCCTTTTTAATAAATCTGCATTGTGGGATTACAGTCTGAAGCTTCTGAATGGCATTGATGTTTTTTCTTTTCTCTACCTTGCCACTGATTGGTTGGATTTATAAACAAAGGATTTCCTTTTTTGAAAGAGTGAATAGAAAAAACTTCTTGTTTGGGAAAGCTGCCTTGTTTACATATCAATTGTAAAATAAAACCTTGAAGGTTGATTAACAGAGAACAAGATGGCTACTTTAAAAGAAATATTTGATTTACTGACCTTTGAAGTACCTGAACTATTTAACTCTTTACTGAACCAGAAGTTATTACTAATGATGAACACTGGAGGCAACTAAGATTCATTGCACATACAAGTGCAACTGGAAGATCATTCAAAAATTGAAAAAGAGATTTGGGGTTACACTTTCAATTTGAAATATAAGAGATTTATTGGAGTTACTTCATGGAAGCTAGAAATGGACTTTGAAATAATTTCAGGGAGAAGAAAAGATATCAGAAGAAATCAGGAGTCAGAATTTTATTTATGGAATTTAAGCATGTTTGAGAGAAAGAAGGAAAAATATATAAACTTGGTTTTATATATGATTATGATTAAATGATGAGTCCTTATATCTGGTGATGTTGAATGGTTATCTGGATTGGATAATGGGGTTTTTTGGAAATGTTTAATGGGATAATGGATTAGTTTTTGATACCTAATAAGGGGTGGTTTTTGGGGGGGTAATGTTTAATTGATAAGTGAGCAATGGAGGAATGTAAACTAAATGAAAAAAGAGCTATATAATATTAGGTATTTTTGTTAATTTTTATTGGATCTTTACTCATTAATAAGGAAGTTGTAGATTTCAAGATGAGTTTATAGAAAATGGGTGAGGCATGGATGAAGAGGAATTTGGTTGTATTTTAAAAGACAGGGATGGTTAATGAAGCTGCTTTTGGACTTTGTGAGAGAAACTAAGACAGGGGTTCTCAACCTTGGCAACTTTAAGACTTGTGGACTTCAAAGCTGGCTGAGGAATTCTGGGAGTTGAAGTCTACAAGTCTTAAAGTTGCCAAGGTTGAGAACCCCTGAACTAAGAGAAATCTAATTTTGATTTTCAGAAATAATGAGACTATTGCTAATTTTAAACTAAGAGTCAGATGTATTTTTTATCTATACCTGTACGAAAGACAGTCAGAAGCCAGGTTCTTTCTTTTTTCCTTTTTTTTTTTGAACTTTTATTTTGCTTTCTATCTGATTCTTTTTTATTTTGTTGTTCCTCCTTGTTTACTTTTATTCATGTTTTAAAATTTAATAAAATTAATTTTAAAAAAAGAAAATGGGCAATTTGTAATGACAATTTAATCTTTGTAGACTAAGAGATGAACTTTTTTATTCTGCAGCTCCTGCAAGTAATGATTTGATTTCTTTCACAGCTGATAACTATGAGATCCTAATTCAGATAAAATATAAAACTATAGTTAATTCCAATTTCCTTGTTGCACAGGTAACAGTCTTGGGTCTAAGTTGGTGTATTAAGCAGATTACAAAAATATTGATTAAAAGATAACTTAGAACTGATTTGCCATGTTGTTTATATAAGCAATTTTGTAAAAACCATATCCTTTTCTCAATATCAGTGCTTCATTTTTCAGCAACACCATCCACAAATCCATTTGTGGCTGCACCTGTAGCTGCAGTAGCAGCATCAACAAATCCATTCCAAACCACCAGCCGAGGAGCAGCAGGTTAGGAAAAATATATCTATAATTATATTTGATAGAATTTTTGTTCTGTTTTTAACAGGTACACATTTATAGCTTTGTGATATATGCTGAAGATGCCTATATACATGTGGCAAATACAATTTTGTACTAAAGATGTACATGTGAAATTAGTTATGAAATCTAATGAGTGTTAGGCTAATCTTTTTGGGTTGACCAGTTATTAATAAGTAATATGCAAAGATTAACTAAATCCCCTTAATTGCTTTTTGAAAGTTAAATCTATTTAGTAAGATGTTTGTAAAATCAGGCATTTATGCTACTCTTGTAGAATACTTTAATATTTGAATTTTTTTACATATTTAACTCTGATATCATTTATTCTTTGATTTGGGGGGGGCATTTATGTGTTGTAAAGCTAATATAATCTCTATACTGAAGGAATTAACTTGTGCTGGTTAAAACATCTATTTGTTTTGGGAAATAACTTAAAACAAATTCATGAAGTAGTTTGAAGTTTGGATAAAGTGATTACGTGTTATCAACTGCATAAATTGTTTATAAATAAATTGACAATATCTGGTCTCTTTGTGACTTCTCATAAGGCCTTTCAGGAGCAATTCACTCTCATATATTTCCTCAGGCTCACTTTGGTAGGTGGCCACATTTTATATAAATTTCAGGTGGCTAATTTTTTATTTGCTTGTGAAAGCTTACTGCAGTTACAAGTTCCTTTGCATGTACAACTTTTTCAACCTTCCATATCATGAAATGGAGTGGGCATGGATGGTGATTGACATTAAATATACGTTAACACCTTACTTGTTGTAAATTTAACACCTCCGTCCTAAGCACATGTTTTCAAAAATATGTGCCATTAATTTCATTGGGAATTGCTGTCAATTAAGTGTGCTAACGTTACTACATTTTACCTCCATGGTCACATATGTAGAAAGTTTAAAATAAGTTTTGAAGCTTGTACTCCTAATACCCTTAGTGATACTAATGATGTCAAACCATTGTGGCTTGTCACAATGTGTTTGGTTTTGCTGTATTAGCAAGTACACTTAGTTATCTTCCCTGCTAATAATGGCTTGTGTAAGCTTTGTTGGTCTTCTATCTATATTTTGTCTATTTTACATTTGTGTGCCTATTTATTCCACAATAAGCGCTTTCATCATGTCTTTCTTGGCTAGCTATAACTATTGATTGGTGGATGTATTGATAAAATTATGCCAGATCTTTACAACATAATTTTTATATGGAAAATTGGTTCAATAGAGTAATTCTTAATAATTCATGACATGAAGCTTGTAATATATATCACAGAACTGCAAAATTTTAAATTGTTCATATGCAGTAATTAGATAATATCTTTACATATTCAATCTAAAATTCAAGAAAGTGATTCATGAACAATTTTCTTTAATTTCTACCTTTCAAGAAAAAGAAAAATAGTGTTAGTTGCAGTTTTAAGAATGAATATTTATTGATATAGTCTGATGAAGTGGAACATGGTACTTGGTCCATGCTGTGAACCAAAGAGAATTTAGTTTGCAGCTGAAGCAATTTGTTAGAATTACTACAGAGTTCTAACTTTTATAAGGTAAATTATTGCTTTTTCTTTAATGAGCTATTTGATTTCATGATACTCTAGAAATTCTCTCTGTTCTTTAATTATTCTCTATTAAAAACATCAAAAATTGGTACTTGTGTTATGTAGCCTTCCTATTTCCCAAAAAATGAAAATACCTTCAATGACGTAGTGGCAAATAATATATTAAATTAAAAGAGCAGTCCAGATAAGTTTTGGTTATATGTCAATAAAATCTAGAAGTTTAATGGTTTTAAGGCTAGCTATGTGGCTGGCTGCTGCACAAAGAATTCTGTTCAAATGCTTTTTAGTATGATATATTAATAAAAGTTGAACACAAATAATTGACTGGTATTGTTTCTTCCATCAGCAACAACATTTGGCACAGCTTCCATGAGTATGCCTGCAGGATTTGGAACAACTGCCTCATACAGTCTTCCTACTAGTTTTAGTGGTAACTTCCAGCAGCCTGCATTCCCAGCTCAGGCAGCTTTTCCTCAGACTGCTTTCACTCAGCAACCTAACGGTAAATGCTTGCATACTACATTTTGTTTCAAGAATACAGTGGTTATTTTAAAACAATTCATTTTCCTGGTTTATCTTTGAAACTCTTACTTGCTATGCTTTTGTTGGCAGGCCAATGAAATATTGTAGCATGTACAAGTGTAACTGATAATATGCAGGTAGTCCTCAACTTATAACAGTTTATTTAGTGATTGTTTGAAGTTAAAACAGCACTAAAAAAAGTGACTTATGACTGTTTTTCAAACTTGCAACCATTGCAGCTTCCCATGGTCATGTGATCAAAATTTAGATGCTTGGCAACTGACTCATATTTATGATGGTTGCAGTGTTCCGGAATCATGTGATCACCTTTTGCCACCTTCTGACAAGCAAAGTCAATGGGGAAGCCAGGTTCACTTAGTAATTGTGTTACTAACAACTGCGGTGATTCACTTAACAACTATGGCAGGAAAAGTTGTAAAATGGGGCAAAATTCACTTCACAACTGTCTCACTTAGCAACAGAAATTTTAAGCTCAATTGTCATAAAATGAGAACTACCTGTATATGGAGATACCTGATCAAACTATATGCATAATATTTATTTTTATTTATTTAAGCACTTGTGAGCCATACAGTCATACCAGTTTTGGGCTTGTACAGCAAAGCTAAAAACATCAGCACTAAAGTATAATTAAATAAAAACTATAATAACAAAACCATACTTTGGTCTTAAAAGTTTACCAAAATGAAAGTAGAGAAAATGTATTTGAAGGGGGAGGCTATCACCAAAAATGGTTCAGTTGAGATCTGCATATGTGGGACTGATTGGGGTAGATTGCAGGGGTGACATCGAAATATAATTTTATCATATTTTATCTATATTTTAAATTATTGTATTGTATTCCAATTTCATTTTACACTGTATTTTATTCCAATTTCATTTTATTTTATTCCAATTTCATTTTAAACTATATTTTATCTAATTCCATTTTAAATTGCTTTTATCAAATTTTAGTAATAATTTATCTCTGGAACTTTGCAGTTTGATATGGGCCAAGGAGGGAGGGAGGGAGGGAGGGAGGAAAGGATTTAATTTGAGCTTATTTCTCCAAATCTAATCCCTAACAAGCACTATTTCAGGACATATGTATCATCTTCAGATTAGTCTAAAGTGGCAGGATTCCATTGAGGGTCATCTGCCTATGAATGATCCTCATTCCAACGCCATAAATGATTTTCTATAGAAAAAAAGAGAAAGTCATCATGCGGGCAGTCCTCGTTTCACAATCAGAATTGAGCCCCAAATTTCTGTTGTTAAGCAAGGCCGTTGTTAAGTGAGTTTTGCCCCATTTATGAACTTCTTTGCTTCAGTTGTTGTGAATCACTGTAGTTTTTAAGTGAATCATGCAATCATTAAGTGAATCTGATGCTGATTTGGAAGGTTACACATGGCGATCACATGACCCCAGGACAGTGCAATTTTCATAAATACATGCCAATTGCCAAGTGTCCAAATTTTGATCACGTGATCATAGGGATGCTGCAAGTCATGTGAAAAACAAACATAAGTCACTTTTTTCAGTGTTGTAATGAAATGAATGGTGCAAGTCGACTATGTAATTCCATTTTTAATTCACTTTTAATATAATTTTATTTTATTTATGAGACTTATATACCGCTTTAAGTGCAAGCACTCTCTAAGCGATGTACACCAGTAAGCAATGTATATATATATTTACATTGCCCCCAACAATCTGGGTCCTCATTTTACCTACCCCGGAAGGATGGAAGGCTGAGTCAACCTTGAGCCGGTGAGATTTGAACCGCTGACCTGCTGAACACAGTCAGCTAAAGTGGCCTGCAGTACTGCACTCTAATTGCTGCGCCACCTCGGCTCAATATTAATATATGGGATACCATTTTGATTAGAATAAAATATTTAATTGATTCAATGATTAAGGGACTGATTTTTGGGAATGGAGTATATGCATAATATGATACTTGACATCTGGTCTAGAGGTAACTTTTGGAATTTTATTGCAAAGGTACTGGTTTTGCTGCATTTGGACAAGGAAAATCAGTAGTAACCCCATTTGGGCAAGTTACAACTGTTGGAGTCTCCAGTAACCCTTTTATGGTAAGTGAATACTGTGGGTTAGATTTATGGGTCTTTTAATTCATATACATATCTTGAGAAATAGGTTGTCCTCAAAAGGATACCAAAAACAGGAATACGAAAAAAAAACAAAAACCCTCAGATCCTAAACATACAATTTTCTCTGGGATATAAGATTACTTATATTTAATCTTTTATTTAATATTATTGTGTGTAATATGGTCCTCATTTAATTGAAATTGAAAAATTGCATCATCTAAAAACAATGTTAAATTATATAAATAGTATTTTAAATTGTTAATGTAATAATTTAAAGAGACAATGTTTTGGTTTTCATCCATCTTGAGAGTAGAGAGAATAAGCACTGAAAAAGTCATATATTGAGAAAAAATTGATTTTGATAGCTGTACAGAAATATAGTTCATACTTTGAAATAATATGAATGTGTTATATATATATTTCTGTGCACAGCAGGAATAAAAGCACTACCATTAAGATATTATTTGTTTGCTGAATTGTTCAACTCTTGCAACTATTCATATAATTTACATTTGAACTTTTTGTCACGATACATGTGTAATTATTTTTTGTGAGATTTCTCTCTCTTTTTTTCTTCTTTTAGGCAGGAGCAGCAACGGGGCCTTTTCCAACAGGAAGCTCGTCAACTAATCCTTTCTTATAGCCTTATAGACACTTTACTTAAAAGAACTCTATGTGATCACATAACATCTCTATGCCTCTTGCACTGTTGTCTTGTTTCACTGACCTTAGCTTTAAACACAAAATAAGTCTTTCAGAAAAAAAAGTCTGCGTTGTGTATTAAAACCAAGGAACACCAGGTGATGTACAAAACATGGGACTGTGGTAACATCCTTTCTTGTGCAATGGCAGGAGAATGTTAATAGTATCATGTATATTAAAATTGGCTAATATTAAGTTATTGCAGATATCATTCATTATGCTGCAGTATTGTACATATTTTTCTCTTAGGAATTAGTTATTTGTGCATATCAGTATTTGTAACTTTTAACACACTGTTATGTGAAAAATGTTACCGGGAGAAATAGATCAGCCAGTTTAAGGTGCTGTCATATATCTTGGAATGAATGGCCTAAATCATTTTAACATTGCTTGTTGAGATTTATGAATTCAGAACTGAAGTTTTATTCATTTCTTGAAGTGTTTTTTTCCCTTTCCTGAAGAGTTCTTCTATTTATACATGCCTAAATTCTATATAATGTGGAGGGATACCTGTCTGCATAATAAAGCTGATCATGTTTTGCTACAGATTGCAGGTGGAAAAAATAAATATTAAAAAAGTTCGTTGTTGTCAGCATTTGCACTAACCAATTTTGTTAATTTTCAAAATCACTGACAAAATTTTGAAATTGCATTATTTCCTTGGCTGTTTCAGTAAGGTTGCAATACATCTTGTTAACAATAGTAATATAACTACTGATCAGTCAGTAAAATATGAAATTGCCTTTATTTTGAAAACTGTCTAACAAATCTAATTTAAAATGAGTAATAGAGAATATTTTCATTTCATTTGTTGTTTAAATGTTTCTTCATTTCAACTTGCAGTAATTGCTGATTCTTATTAGTTAAAACAAGTTGGTAAGATTGATTTGCAGCTTTATTGAAACCAAACAGCCAGCAAATATTTAATAAAACCAAACTTTAGCTTCAGTATGGATATGCATACTATGGATTTTGAATGAATATTGTGCTCCTTACCAGTAGAATTATTGTTCAGTAGTTATTTGCAAGGTAAATGCCATGGCAGTGTATTTAGCATTTATTGATGAAAGCTGATAGAGCAATGTTTCTATAGATTTTAGATAATTTGTAACTCAAATATTTGATCTTTGTCAATAGAAATACAAATTTTATATGCAATTATGTTATGGTGACAAATATAAATCCACATGCAGTGTAATACTGAGGCAAGCCATTACTTCATAAAATTAAGTGACTTGAAAATTTGAACGAAGATGATTCATGTACCAGGGTGAATGGATACAGAAAAGATCTGAATTTCTCTCAAGGAGGTTGATTAATGGGAAGGGGAAGATGTTCTCTTTGTGGAATTTAAACACATTGCTTCAGATTTTTATTGGCATTAATCTGGGATATAAAAATAGTACTTAATATCCTTGCTAGTGGACAAGACTATTTGGGATATTGAAATAGTACATCCCTACATATAATATACTTTGGATAGAATGTAAAGTACTGTAAAGTAAAGGATTTATCAAAAAGTTTCCTCTAAGATATTTAATAGGAAGATGGAAATTGGGATAAAGAGAATATGTTTGGTATATTACTAGTTTCTGTCTGGAATTACCAGGTTAGTAGATTTCTGGATTTCTGTAGCCTTTTTGAGCGAGATAGCTTAAAAACAAACACAATGTTTTGTTTAGAAATTTGCTAACCTGTGGTGATGCTGAATTGGGGTATGTCCCCAAAAGGCCATTTTGTGTGTTCCAATGTATGCAATATTTGTCTTAGTTTCAGTGAGTGCATCTTGATGAAAAGATGAATGGAGTCAAGAGCTATCTAGTCATTTTAAATCATGAAAAAATATGTCATCTTCATGCATACATACATTAATTGCAAGAATTTGGGTGAGTAAATCCTTGAAATTGCAGTTAAAACTACACCTGTATACAGAATGTGGCATAAGAGTCAGCAAAGAGCCACAGTTTTGTTTTGTTTTTTAAACTAGTTGAAGAGCATCAGCTTTTTAATGGAACAACAATTCTGTAGGAAAATGTTTTTAACTCATCCTTGGTACTGTATTTCTACCCTCTTTTTCCTCTTGACTGCTGTTTGCTCTGTTGGGGTGGGGAATGGGAATACAATGCATTCACTTAGATGCCTTGAATTTTTAAGAGCAAGAATTTTCCTTCTTTGCTGCTTTTCATTTCAAAGTTTTAAAAAATCATTGTATCAATGCTTAAGGATAAGGTGGAATTTTTACTGTTGAACTTAATATAATCCTCATGTTGAATTTTTGTTTCAGATGATAACAAAAGACTTTTCTATGCTTTTTCTAGAAATTATTTTCGTTCTCTGAGTAATATTTACATTGAACAACTGTTTTTTTAAAATTGAAATTCAATATGTGTGTATTATGAATAAAGCAGCCTTGCAGCATGTAACTGCAAGCACCAATTGGCATAGTACTGTTCGATAGAGAGAATCCTGGAATTTACAGTGGCAGATGAATAAATGGAGATAACAGTACAATACTCATCCTCATTGAGCTCCCTAGTAAAACATGTCCAGCCAATTGGAATCAAACATGGATGCACATCTTAATGGGCACAAAGAATTTTTGCAAAAAAAATCTACTAATATAATTTTGGCTGTTGCATCAGATGAGTTTTTCGGAAATCCTATATTCTATATTCTATGCTATATTTAGATAATATTTAAATATTGGAGGCAATTTTTTTTAAAAGCCCCCTGTTCTGATATTCTGGGCAATTGTATTAATTAAGTTTTAATTGGGCTTTACTTTGCCACTGGAAATCTTGCATTTCCAGTACTGTGTGCCCAGTTTTTAAAAATCAACTGTGTCTTATTGAAGATTTTATCTGAATGGCTACTTAAATACATTTCAATGTGAGGTAAGAAATTTGGGGGTGTTTTAAAGAAATGCAGAAATTTAGCTGGAAAAAAAACCCTTATTATCCATGGTTCAAGTGATTTAGTGAGAGTATCTTTTTTCATACTTAGGAAATGATCTACACTATGGTGAAAACTCATTTTCAACGTAGTGGAAGAATCTTTTTTCTATATAATTTGGAGTTTATCTCCTGAAATAGTGGCATGCTCTCACTATTCCCCATGTGTTATTTTAAATCCCTTAGTGGATTCTGTTGTTTTAAACATACTTTCAAATCCTATGTTTTCTCCAGATGCATACATTTTATTATTAGCTTTAGGTTTTATATAACCTTTATGAAATATTATGCAATGTAGTATAAATTCTGTAGAGTTCAGTGAGGATTTCTTATTTTATGTTGAGGTTAATTCCCCAGTTTTGAATAATTTTGAGTTTTTATTTTTCAGACATAAAGATCAATATGTCTGCAAGGATTAAATATCTATTTTCCCCCTTGCTTTCTATATTGCCAACAACATTTTCTATTTTCTATTATTTTAAAATCTATTTTATTCTATACCACCCAGAGTCAGTTATATAAGCTGGTAGTTGTATAATATAAACCAATTAAGTAAATAAATAATCAATTCTTGCAAAGTAATTTGAAAAAGGAAAAGTGCAGCCCTTATTTAGGATTCCATCTATTTTAACAGATCATTATGTATTAGGTTTGTATTTGAATCAGTCCATATGAGAACATACCGTGTTTTAAATGTTTTTATTATCATAAAATTAAAAAATACTGATGTCTATTGAGAAAGCAAATTACAAGTAGAAAATTCATTATATAATATTTACTATTTCTTAATACTGTAGATTGCATCATGTCCCAGTACGACAAAAAAGTACAATAATCTATAAACTTTAATTTTCGCACCATCTTTTATAATGGGTGACTTTTTCCCAGCACTTCAAAGATTCTTCTTCCTGATGTTTATAATAAAATAATGCCATTATTTTATTTTATTTTATTTTAATTTATTTTGAATATTTTGTGCCAAGGTAATTAGCAAATACACATTAAAACTACATAATAATAAACAAACTTTACAACATTATTAAAAATCTAAACTATTTAAAATATTTGAAACAAAATAATGAAAAACCATGTATAAACAAGCATGTTTTGAGCTGCCTCCCCCTACCAGTTTAAATGAGAGGGAATAGTTTCATTTCTGGTGGCAGTTTATTCCAGAACAAGGAAATTATAAAAGCAGAATTTACTATGGATGAATTTACTATATCCATGGACGGAGTAACAAAAAATGCTCAATGATCTGAGACTGATCAGGTAATTAGACTAAGTAAGATATCCTGTAAACTTTGTCCTAAGCTCTGTAAGGCTTTATATACATTTAGAAGCATCTTGAAGTAGGCTCAGAAATAACCAATAGTAAAATTGTTTCTGTGAGGGTATCTTTAGTTTTTTCTATGCACACATATCCTGCAATTCATAGAAAATATTCTACAGTTTGGTGCTTTTAAAAAATATATAAGAAAACTACATAGCCAGTGAATGGCTGTGTAATCTATTAAAGAGGTTAGGCGTAAAGTAGCCTATTTATTACTAGAGAAGAATATGAAAAGAATAATGGGAACAAGAAATGGATGGTCTGAAAATAATGACAGCTCTTGAGAATATCAGTTTGATCAATAGCAAACCTTCAGGGTGATGCTAAAGATGAAGCACAAAGGAGCCCAAAAGTGAATCCCTACATAAACCTTCATTCTAATTATTTTTCCTAGCATCTAATAGGTTGAAAAGGCTCAGTAACACAATGTATATAAACATTAGTTTTTGTCAGTTTCACCATGAGGGTTCTGTGGGCCCTGAGAGGCACTGCTCGCCATACAAGCTGCTTGATCCAGGGCCAGCCACATGTTCAGATTATTCTCAAGGGTGACCCATAAGCACAGTGCACTTATCCAGCCACTAAGAATTTAACAGAATTACAATGCTATTGTAAAACACTTAACTGAGCAAAAATAATAAAGGCGGGATACAAATAAATACATTTCCATTTTTTCTGAGCATAGTACATGCATACAAAATAATCCTGACTTTAAATCACACATGCACAAAGAGGCAATCTATTCCACTGAAATGACTTTTTTATTACCATCTTTATTTAAAAGTTTTAAGGCTTAAGCTAATGGTAGGACTGAACATGGAACAAAATCTGTTCTGTTTTGAACTCCAAACATGCCATCACACTTTAGAACACGGGTATCAAACTCGCCGTGCCATGTGATGTGACATATCGCAACTTTTTTTGCATTGCCAGGGCATTATGCAACCAGCCGGCAGTTCGACACCCTGCTCTAGAAGTTCTGCAGTGTTATCTCTGAAGTTCCCAACATAGCATTCTTCCTTGCTTTCCTCAGCCATTGTCCACATGCCTATTCCTAACAAGGATATTGCTGCAATTCCTAGTGCAGCAAATACCCTAGCTGTGCGCTTCTGATTTTTATTGCCTTCCCTCTCCTCAGTGCTTCTTGGTGTCTGCCTGCTGAAAAAGAGGTGAGAATGGGTTGTGTATGGCACTGGCATTGTGCTGACCTTCCCTGCCATGTGAGGAGCTGGCATTTTCCCTTTCAACTTTTGCTGTTGCCTTCCATCAAGAGCACTATTGACACAGATGCAAATATCAAGCAACCCTTTCCATCCCCTATCTTGGACTTTCCCTTATTCTTCTCTGAACACTTCATTTTTAGGGCAATCGTGTTGTAGTTTTATCCAGATCAAAATAGCTTCTTTCATTCTATAGACCAAAAACTCCAAAATGATTTTTTCTGTTCAGCTATGAACCATTCAAAGCAACTGCACATCCCTATTGAACAAAGTTCTCTGCAAAACTTAAAATGAGAAATTAATATATTTGAAACAATAACTATAAAACAATGAAAACATTAATTCATCAAAAACCTAGACTGGACATGTATCCTCACAAGAGTGGGGACCAGTAAAAATCCATGAGGGAATATAGCCCATAGTTGAGGACACAACACTGAGTTATACTTCATGCTCCATAAAATGTCCACAGCTGGAGGTATCTTTAAAATCCCTTGCCTCAGTCAGTTGTGTAATGAGGCAACATTTCAGATAGTCAAGTTTTCATCCATTTAGCTACAGCTAAATCTGTAGCTCTCCAATTCTCACTGAATAACAGATCTGAATAGTTTGAGCCAAAATTGTCAATGGGAGTTATAGTTCTCCTATAACTGGAGGACTATAAAAGTTATACCAAGAACTTACAACTGAAGCCAGAAACAATTAGCAGCAGCATAGATCTCTAGATGTAGGGAAAATACTTTCAATTTTCATTAATTAAATGGTAGTATAAAGAACTATTTTAATGGCAATTACAAATGACTAATCAATCAATTACATGTAACCAACATTTCCTTCTATTTCAAATGTAATTGGTTGGGCACCTTGAGAATTCTGATCTTTTAATATAGTTATGTCATAACCTAGGAATTTAAAATCACATGAGAATATACAAGTTAATTTTATGTGCAAATGTGACTTAAAGTCACTGAGGAACTGATTTGTTCAAATAAAAGATCGTTCAATTTGGCTTCAAGGCAACTTTTGTTTAAGGTGCTACATCCTTGTGCTATGAATCTCTGTATTCTGCCATTGTGCTTTCATTTCAAGATTTTCTGCAGGGTTTTCCTTTTCACATTTTGTTGAGATTATAATGTAAATGCTTCTGCTTAGAAAAATCCCAGCTATCACTGCAAAGTAGCTTCCATATATTAAGAACTGCAATAAAGCAGAGTAAGAATCAAGCTATTTTCCCTAGAAAAACCCCAACTATTATTATATTTTAATATTTTTCAACCATTTTGCTTATTAGTATTATGTCTAGCATTTTTTAAATGTCAGAAAATGAAGCCCAGGAACCTTGGCTATAGTAATAACCTTAAGCAAATGTCTTTGCGAACCATGTGAGATTCCTGAATGTACATTGATGTGAATAGCTAAACTGGTATAATCTCTTGAATACAAACCAAAAGGTTTCTTCATTAAATATTTATAAAATGAACATCAAGTGATATGCATTGGCAAGAAATGAAAGTTCAGATCAATATTTTAAAGGGTCAAAATCATTTAAAAATGGCATGAAAAAAGCATAGCATAATCCAAAGGCTACAGAAATGTCTTATACACAGGTTTGTGTTTGGACAGAGAACTAATTTACTATCAGAGCATACAACAAACATGCCTTCTGTTATAGTGCCTTCTTCAAATGATAAGCAATGCATTCCTTAAAATAAAAATTGTTACCTAAAAAACAGTGACCAACCCAAGGTCTAGAATTTCATATTTATCCTTTTCCAGAACTCTACAAGTCATCTTCTTGCAATATTTAAGCAGCTCTTTGCATTTACAGGCAGTCCTTCATTAAAGTCCACTCATTCAGCAACTGTACAAGGGAGACTTAAGACAGGCCCTTATTTTATTGATTGTAACATCCCTGTGGTCTCGTAATTGCAATCTGGGTGCTTGGCAACTGGCTTACAATTATGTCACAGCATCCCACAATCATGTGATGTCATTTGCAAACTTCACTGAGGCTTCTGATAAGCAAAATCAATGAGGAAGGTAGCAAGAGGTCACAAATGACATTCATATGTTGTGCTTTATAGCTGCAGCAGTTAGCAACAGAGTTCCTGGTTCCAATTACAGGCAGTCCCCATGTTAAGACTGTGCCACTTACAAACAACTTATATTTATGAATGGGCTGTCTATTACTAAAAATGGTGGATAGCAGTCTCTTTCCTCAAGCTAAAGAACCACTGAAGCCACATTATGTGTTCATGAAGCTGTGCATTTTTAATATACAGCCTATTTTCAGTGGTTTAATAGGCAGTCTGTTCATAAGTAGGAGTTCTGACTTACATACAAATTTAACTTAAAGACAGACTTAGGAATGGATCGCATTTTTAACCCAGGGATGGCCTGTAGTTCCATCAGAATAATTTTATTCTGCCTTCTCATATTTAGTTTTTGTTATGGTTATTCAATCTTTGTGAGGATTTACAACTGAGTAATAATGCACTTGTTTTTAGTAAGAAATTAAAAATTAATCTGTTAACTGATAGGCTTAGTTTTTGTAGTAATATCAACATTCCAAAACACAAGTACAGTTCCTGGCTGCATAAGGCTATCTGTCCCTATTTAGTTTTAAATTTCCAAGTCCATTCACTTCAGAAGGTGGTCTCTGAAAAGATTGAAAGTTTTCAGAAATATTAATTCGGTAACAGTGCCCGTATTACCTGTCCAACTTACCTGAGTCCCAATATCCAGGCCCAGACCTTTTGAATCAACTACAATAACAGTCAGTATAGTTTGAATTAGCAGTGCAACAAAGTTGTTGAAGCCAAACATCAAGGCATAGCGTTCCATGCTGAGGTTGATAGCAATCTGGAATCTAAAATACAAACTTTGGTTAGAATGTTGAACAAGGTTTTGAGAGATGAAGTTTCAGTTAATTTGCCTGTATATGAGAATTTGGAAGAGTATAACTACATGATTTCTGCAAGATAATATTAGTAACTTATTGAAATACTGCAAAATACTGGGGCAAAATTTGGAGAATATAAGTGAATTTTACAAATGCAATGTAAAATTATACCCACACAGCACAATGCAATTATGAGTAATTGCTTAACCTACCTGGCTCATTAAGATGCAATAGCAGAGGTGTACTAAGATTGCTAAGGATACATTGCTGAGATTGAGAAACACTGCTTTAGACAATCCCTTATTATAAAGAGGAACTAAGCGTTTAAAAATAAAGGATGATAAAACTATTTTTGGCATAATAAAAAATAAAAATCTAGTAAATTCAGTCCTCTTAGGTGTCAATTTTAAGGGTCATTTAAGGGAAACTTCTCCATATCTAGTGCAATATGCTGGCTGGGGAATTCACATCTTAAAATTGCCAAGGTTGAAAAACACTATGCTAGGGGAATAAATTTTCCATTTCTTCCATAGCTTGTGCTCTTACATAAAATAAGCCACCAATAATATTCCATTCCCAACTCCAACTAGATGTACTATAAATAGTAGCAAATTAACACTGGTAATTGAAAGTTACTTACGTGGCTATGGTTATAAGGAACATATAACATGCTTTGAACACTAAATAGCTAGCATAACAGACCCAGATGTTCTTGATAAAATGCATAACAATAAGTGAAGTAGCATCTAGGGCTGAGAAGATTCCCAGTGCCAGTTCTCCAGTTAGATCCCAGTTCAGTTTCACATATGCCACAGCTAGTGAGGTTATTGAACCTAGGAGTAGAAGGACTCATCTGTCACATTTTGCAGGACTGTAGCATGTACTGAAAACTGTTTGAACAATTTCCTGTTTATTTAAACATGTAAAGATACCCTGATTGCTTCTTTAATAAGCAGACAACAGGAACATTCTTTTCTATTTGAAGAATCCCAAAGTAATAGTTCAATAAGGCTGAAGGGCTAATAAAAGTCTGATGGTCTAATCATTCACCCATTTAACTTCAATATAATGATTCTCTCATTAAAGTATTGTTTACTTCTTTGTCACTTTCTCACAAAACTTAAAATACCAATAATGCAACAACCAGTAATAAAATCAGTGTATTATTATATTAATATCATTTATACAGTCAGCAAAAAATCTGTCACTGGATGACTTGCTCCACAAACTAAACTTTAGTCTAAATCTCTCAGTTTGAAATTAGAGCCTGCTGGCTTATTTAATTTAAGCTAATTTAAGTTAGCAATTCCTAGAATTGCTGGGAGATTTATTATTGTTATTATTCTGCAGACAAACAATAAAAATGGGAGTAGAACTATGTGATAATTATTCAGGTATAGTATGATGGTTATATGATTACCTGTTTTTTAATTGCAATCCCAATTAAATATGCCCAAATTTTGCCAATCATTCCTTATAAGATACGAAGTCTCCAAACGTGACCCCTTCCCAGAAATACAATTTATTGAAATCCTTTTATGTAGTAATCAGAATAAGACACTATGATTCAGCCTACAATATGTAAACTAAACCAAAAAGAGGTACCATTTCTGCTTTTGTTGATGCAACTAAGAATTTCAGTATCCATTTCAGGATAAATGGATATTCAGCAATATCCATTTCAGACCACACCATTTCCTGTTTAATGTATAATTCTACCCACAGATTCTAAGAAATTCCTTATTATTTTTTTCCATCTTATATTTGATTGTAATATCTGCTTTAAAGTTGAATCAGTTTTTGAGGTTGTAGAATACAAATTCTTGATAGAAAATAATCATCTATTTTTATATATTTCATATTTCTTAACCATCCATCTCCTTCAGGATTTTTAAGAATTTTCATTCTAATTTGTGCTTAACTTTATTGTATTTCAATATGAGGTTATGTAGTTTTTGTTATGAACAATTTTGTAATCTGGTCAAAATTTGGGGTGCCTGGTATCACATTTTGATCATATGAGAAAATTGTTCATATAACAAAAATTAAATATTTAAAAAAAATTAATGATCACAGCGAAAAAAGGTAATAAAGTTGGAAGCAACTGACTTAACAACCACTCTGCTCAACAACAGAAGTTATGTTCCAATTATGGTCATAACTTAAGAACTACTTGTATTATAATATTCTACAATAAGCTCCACTGAAATAAACAACAATTTATATAAATAAAATATGTATACATATTTGAATACATGTGGGATTTTGCATGAATTTGTTGTTTAAATTGCTTGTACTTAACATTTATTGTTGGATAATATATAAGATAAATTTTAAGCTTACTTACTCAGAAATGTAGCTATGGCTTCAACAGCTCCATTATAAACTTCAGAACTATGAGAAGGTGCTTTATCATCCCATAGTACTTGCACATAATTCAAAATTTGGTTAAATCCTGCAGTAGCTAAAGTCCACCACATTGACCAATAAAGAAGTTTTTTGGTGGCATAACATTCCTTCAGATCCACACACAACTGCATTAGGATTGACAGAAAATGATTCTTGGTTTTAACTTTGGATGAGTCATGTTCAGGTAAATTCTGGGGCCTGACTGCTGATATTGTCATCTCTTTGTCCTGTTCATTGGTTTGTTGGTTGGAAATTTGTGCTGTAACTTTCTCTACTGATCCAATGAAGTGTTCTGGGGAAGACTTTCTATGGAAGAACATGCTTTTTTGTGGCATGGGCAGAAAAAATGAAGATATAAATGCCATAGACACAGAAGCTAAAGTTATGACATTGAGATAAAAATAAGGTACCTGGCCTAAAGAAACTAAAAGCTGTCCAAGCAGAGATCCCATGGTGGATGCCACCAGAGTGATACTTCTGCAGTAACCTGTCACTTTTTGATAATAATCAGCACTGACAACACTATATATGTAAGCATAATAGGCAACCTCTGTGGCTGTTGCAAGTCCATACATAAACTCTGCCAGCTGCATGGCTGATATGCCAGATGCAAATAAAAGTAATAGCCAAGTAACAATTAAGCTAATCCCCTGTACAATAATTATAGGTTTATAACGTGCATAGTCTGTAATCAGAAATACAGGGAAGAGCAGGGCCAGGTAGGAGTATGTCCAAACTGGAAAAATATGCTGCGTTACCTAGAAGACAAAGGAGAAATTCTATCAAACAGAACTATGAAGCATGCATACAATTGTAGCAATAGCACTTCCACAGGGCAGGTTTAGCTACCACCAGGGAAAGTCTTCTACAGTGGTGCTTAAAAGTTTGTGAAACACCTAATTTTTCTAGTTAGAGTCTAATTTCCCCTTCAAATGAATTGATAATCCTAGAGATTTTGCTACACACTAATACATAGTTTTGGATCATGTTCCTCAATAACTAAACAAACTAGTATAAGTTTTTGATTTGTTTAATTGAGTTCTTTTTATCTAAGATTTATTTAGGACTTATGTTTTAGGTAATATTTACTTGACAATATTGAAAATTCAAAAAGGTTCACAAAACTTTTAAGCATTACTGTAATCCCACAAGACAACATTGCCTGGAAATTAGAGTAAGCCAAATCAATCAGAAGTCAGATGATCAGGCAGAAACAACAGAAGAAATGTGGTCCTAGCAAGGCCTTCAGCCATGAAATCATGAAGTACATGAAAAATACCAATAACCAGTGCAGTTTGTGGAGAAGTGGTAAAATTGATGAAATGTAAAATATCTGTAGCTATTTGTGCTGCTGAATCATGGGCCACAAAATTATATTATGGATTTAACATGCATGCAATTCAACCAGTATCTAGGGGAGGAAAAAAAAAACAGAAAAGCCTCCACCAACTCCAGCTTATTTCTACCCAATAAATTCCCTCACAGATAAAGTATATTTCACTCTACCTCATCAATAGTCAGATTTTTTTCAGGTCCAGTGAGGTAAGGTGTGAGGAAAGGTTCAGATGGCCTCATCATGGTAAAGAAGCCATAAATACAAAGGACCAGAGTTGGAAAAATCCACCCACTCTGATGTACTTTCTGCCAACAGTCCATGGCTCTTTCAGCTAAAATATTAAAGTGCACACAAATAGAATAGATTTTGATTTTATTTATTTTTTTAAAAAGCCTTTTCCTAATGTGTACAATGAAATGTTTTTCTTAGAGGATGAAGAATGGAAATTATAGAGGAACTATAATAAAAGTCATGGAAACAAAGAAATAGCTCCATAGTAGAACCCATTTTAGCACTCATTTGACCTGCTTGTTAGACTATTATCAAGGTTCAGAAAGGGGAAAAATACATTTCAGTGGGATGTCCCACAGGGTAACATCACAACCAATGAATAATTACACATTTCTTTGATTAGTGTTTCCTTATTTCCCCAATCAAAATTGCTGCCCCCAATACAGGGCAAGATAGTAAGGATTGTTTACAAAATTATAGTATGCCAAAAGTTTAGGAAGCTTCTATTTGTTAATTCACACTTGAAAACATTTCTTCTGAGCTTATTGTTTACAAAATAAATGTTAATTTAAAAAAAGAAAATATGTTACAGTCAACCTTAAGTTCAGGTACAGGATGTTACTTAATCAGCTGGATCAATTTGAGCAAGTCACTCTCAATCCAACTCACTTCACAGGATGGTTGTGGGGAAAATAGAGAAGGAAGGTGCATTGGATATATGCACTGCCTTGAGTTACTTATTAAAATAATAAATGTGGTGTACAAATAAATAAATAGTTAACTTAGTCTAGATAACCCTATGACCCGTTGGGTCATATTTTGAGAAAAAGATCTAATATGACAAAAATGAACATTATTTTCATTTTATTTGTATCCTGCTTTATTATTTTTTTACAAATAACTCAAGGTAGCAAACATATCTAATACTCTTTCTTCCCCACAAAAACTTTAAATTTTTGGCTGACTATATTTTTCTTACCATAGTGCTGGATGGTTCCATGATCATCTAAGAAGAGTTTATATCAGAAATAGAAAAGTACTGTAGTGGAAAACAAACTTCAATAATAAGTCAACATTTACTTACCTAAACAGATAAACAGAATGACTAGAGGTGAGCAAAAAACATTTGAAGTGCCTTGATTCAAAATTGTTGTCCTCTGGTACACTATTTCACCTTAAAAGTTTCACATAGATTAAGCAGGAGAGTTTTAGTACTATATAGGTAATAAAAATAAATATTACTTAAATTCTTTGTTAAACATTTTAAAAGAGAGACTACACTTTTCTGGGGAGCAGAAATTCTAGATGAGGAAAAGGCACGTTGTCTTACCTGAACGCCTTTTCTCAGTACGGAGATGGAAAATCCACCAATGGGTTTTCACTGTCTGCCTGCTCTTGAGACCAAGTAGCCAAACATGACATGCCCCTCTTGCTAGGAGATCCAGTCTTGACGAGGGCGAAAGTGGCTGAAGGTGGATGAGGTGTTGGCTCTCAAACCCTTAAATTTGGCCTAACTGACCTAAAGGGTGGGTGTGGATTCTCCATCTCCGTACTGAGAAAAGGCGTTCAGGTAAGACAACGCCCCTTCTCCAGTACAGGAGATGGAGAATCCACCAATGGGACATACCAAAGCCTCACTGTCCCAATGGGTGGGAAACAGATAAGGCCGGAATAGTGTCCCCGGAGACCACCTGCTGAAGGACCCTCCTACCAAAGGAGGCGTCCGCCGCAGTGAAGCGGTCGATCCTGTAATGGCGGACAAAAGGGGAGGGCCAGGACCATGTCGCAGACCTGCAAATCTCCTCGATGGACACCTGAGTGGCCCATTCTGCAGAGGTCGCAGCACTGCGAGTGGAATGGGCAGTAAGATGACTTGGAGCCAGCAGGGAAGAGAACTGGTACGCCTCCGCGATACAGGTCCTGATCCATCTGCCAATAGTGCCAGCGGAAACCTTCTTTCCCGGACAGAAAGGAGATAAATAGGGCCTCAGATCTACGAAAAGGCTCTATGCACTTCATGTAATGCCACAGTGCCCTCCGGACGTCCAGTGTGTGCCACTGCCACTCCAAGTCATGGGAAGAATTGGGGCAAAAATTTTGCAAGATGACTTCCTGTGCTCTATGTAAGAGCGAGTTTACCTTGGGCACAAAGGCGGGGTCCAGACGAAGGACCACCTGATTGCTGTGAAAGATACAAAGTTCATTTCTGACCGAGAGAGCAGCCAGCTCAGAGATACGTCTGGCTAATGTGATGGCGATCAAGAACACAAACTTAAGAGACAGGTTCCGCAATGGAACAGTAGACATGGGCTCAAAGAGTGTTTTGTTAGAGTGCAAAGTACGCGAGGAAACTCCCAAGAGGGGTACCTGTGTACCACGGGAGGCCTGGTGTTGCACGCACCCTTGATGAAGACTTGTATTCTGGGATGATGAGCTAAGGGAACTCAGCACAAGTGAGTAATGTTGACAGGGCCACCACCTGTCTGCAAATAGTCACAGGGGCCAGGCCTCTGTCCAGACCATCCAGAAGATAATCTATGATCTGAGGAATGGTCAATTTGTAGATATCTAATTGTCGCGTTCTATACCAATGGCAAAAATTCTTCCAAGTAGAATCATAAATGCAATTGGTCGCCGGGCGACGAGAGGCCTGAATCATAGTGATTCCTCGTGATGAGAATAACTCTTGTGTCATCATGCTGCGCTCACTAAATGTTCAATTGCAACCACTGAGGGTCCGGGTGTTGGAGGACCCCTTGATGCAAGGACACCCGATGCGGAGGAATCTTTCTCAAGGGAGCGTGGTCTTGGCCTTAGATTTTGGCTTGCCTGCCGCCTCCTGTTCAGAGGAATCGTGGCAGCCATAACCGGATGGAGGGATAGTGCCCATGGGGTGAGGCATCGTGGAGTCCTCCATCCTGGTTGAGCAGTCTCAGGGAAGCTGAGGTGAAGCTCTGGCAGGCAAGCCGTTGGCGGAAGTGAGATTGGAACAAGTAACAAGACTGTTCCCCTGACCACCTGACCAGCAAAAAAATTCTCTCTGGGCTTTGGTCACGGCAATTGAGTCAGATGCCGAAGGCACGTTTGGGGCCACTCTCTGGCCTCCACCTGGAGGCCTCAGGTGGCCAGTCAAGGTGCACCAGAAAAAAGCCCCAATGAAGGGCGCAGAGGGCCTGAGATGAGGCCTGGCAGAGGCAATGTGAATTCAAAATGGAGGCTTCAAAACAGTATGGTGGCTTGAGAATTTGGGCCTAGTCAGTTAATTATTGGCTATAAATAATGATACAGTTGATAAGGCCCAATGGTAATCACTATGCAGGGCTAGAATGGTCTCTCAGCTGTGCTGAAATTAATGGCCTGAAGGCCAGATGGAAACGCCCTGTAATGTGTTGAGGCCTTCAACTAATAAATTGGCTGATGGCAATGCAAGGCCGACCGCGTGGCGCACCCAAAATGGCGGCCGCAGCAAATTCTGTTAAGGCTTCCTGAGATAGATTAGGGGACTGCTATGAAAGCCCCTGTCTCGAAAAGCAGGACTCCAACTAATTTTGCTCAGAAAACTGATTGTAAAAGCAAGGAAACCTCCGTTTGAATTTTGGGCTCGTCGGCCATCCAAAATGTCAGCCGCAACTTTCGGGCCATATGAAACGGCCTCCGGAGGCTTGGCAAGGTAACATTAATCTGTGGGGGTAAGCTGACTGCAGTGCAAAGCGCTGTGCAGGTAAAGCAGAGCTCCAGTTAAAACTTTTCAGAAACTGATTGCAAAGGTGAAGGAAAAACCTCCGTTTGAGTTCTGAGCTCCTCAGCCGTCCAAAATGGTGGCCAAGACTTTCAAGCCATTTAAAATGGCCTCCGGAAGTGTCAAGGATGAGGGAGAAGGCTCTGGGGCTGATTGTGGCTGCAGCGCTGAGCGTTGTGCAGAAAAGCCCACGGGGAATTGGAAAAACAAAAAAATTTTCTCCCCCCCCAGAGTCCTTGGGAAAAGAGTGGAGAAGTACTTCCCCCCCACACACACACAGAGGCCTCAAATCAGCCAATTAGACGGTGCGCTGATTCCAGCATCTTGGGGAAAAAATATTTTTGGGGAAATTAACTTTTTTTGAAAGAGAATCACTAATTAGGGAATATAAAATTTAAAAGCAAGGAGAATCCAACAATGGTATCTGACCTGCTAAATGAATTGAAAATCTCTAAACCTGAGAGCCAACCTTGATACGTCTTCAAGATCTTGAGACCAAGTCAAGACTGGGTCTCCTAGCAAGAGGGGGCGTGTTAAGTTTGGCTACTTGGTCTCAAGAACAGGCAGACAGTGAAAACCCATTGATGGATTCTCCATCTCCTGTACTGGAGAATATTTGATGTACATAGCTGAATGGGATTATATTCCACTATTTAAGCACAAGAGAAAGAAAAGATACAGAGAAGCATTAGAGTTAACGTATAGCATGGAGGTTAAAATATTGGACTGCCTCCAGGGAAATCTAGTTTAAAAACCAGCATCAGCAAAAGAAGTTAACGAGGAGTCAGTCATTCTCTCAGCCCAAGTATCCTCACAACTGTCATTGCAAAGAAATAGGAGTGCTGTGTACAGTGGTTTAGCTTCAAATCATAAGCAAGATATATGTAAAATATTTTTTTAAAAAAATATTTACCATGCTATGTGTTCCATTTCCTTAGGTTGTTGCAAAATGGTAACCATGTTCTCTGCTTTCCTCAAATGAAAAGGCCTTTGAGTTTTCTCTTTAAATAATTACTCTTGCTTCTCATCAATAAATTTCTTAGGTTTTCAAGTTTCAATATCCAGCTTGAGACAAGACTTTCTGTAGTAGTCTTCCTGATATTTCCAATTGTTGATTATTTGTCTTTTTTGATTTAATGAATTTAAAGCTTGCTTTACGTTGCTGCACTTCCCTTCAAGTTCGTCCTTGCCTCACGGTGGTTATTCCAGTTTTTCACGTTTTAAAGCTGCCACCTCCTTGAAAATGTGGTTCTGTTTATGTATCCTCCCCTTAAATAAAACAGAAACACTTCCAATGGTTTTCTAATTTAAGTTCACAACTTAAATAGATTAAGTTATTTAAGCTAATTAGTTAAGGACTTCCATCCTTTTAAGGAGACAATGCTGTCAGAGTACTATCTTAAATCCACCATTATGGAGCAACCCATAGAAAAGGCAACTGTGAATTTGAATAGATTCAGAGTAAAAATGGATTTGCTATTTGTCTTGTCAGAAAGTATCAGATGCATGAGGCATGACATTTTATTGTAGGAGAAGGCAACTGAATTATTTAATTTTCCAAATAACATTAATGTCATCATTTTGGTTATATGTTTTATTTCATTCTGCTGTACAATGCAGAAATTTGAAGCATAATTTGAAGAGAAAGACTTGACTTTTTTTGTCTTTTCCAGCTGGCAATTATTTTTATACTCTCCATTCCAAAAAATCCTGCAAAGAAACTATGTAAATGGTATTGGAACTCTATCTGTGTCATTGGTCAGTAGGATATGAAATGAGGTCAGATTTAGTGTGGCAGGAGAAGTCAACAAATGGAAGATCAAAATAAAAAAAATGAGCTAATCTCACTGGGAGGCAGTGGAGAAAAAAAATATAGAATAAATTCCCTGCCAGTGCATCCATATGAGAGAGGCAGTTGTCCTACTCTTAGTTCTGTGACCCAGAATGGAGCTACTATAAAGGGTTTCCAAAAGCCATGCTATGGCAGAGAGAGAGAGAACATATCATTTTAGGACATATTTCAAAAACTCCATCTTATTCCCTACCCCATCTACAAGGTCAAATCCATACAAAGAAGAGACAAACTTTAAGATTTTTAGCACATTGCTCTCATGGGCTTATTTTTTTCATGAAATTGCATATAAACAACTTATACCTGTCATTACATTATACCTACATTGCATTATACCTGCCAAAGGGAAAGCAAAAATAGCCCTTATACTCCGTTTGATGTAATGGGTAGCAAACAAGTCAAACAAACAAACAAATAAATACATAAATAAATAAATGTAATTTAAATTTATTTAATTTACATTTTCAGTTCTTTCCAAAGAAATACATATTTTTAAATTAGAATATAGTATACAAACCAAGTATTCATATTATTTTAACTTTTCAAATTATTTTAAGTCTAAAGACTTTAAATGCTTTAATTATGTAATATGTAATTAAAATGCAAATTATAATATCCCAGATTAACCATAGTTTTTCTGATATACGAAGTAAGGGAAGAGAATGATGATAGAGAAAAATTAGTGGCAAGTTGTACCTGCAGAAAACCTTGCTTCCTAACTTTACTTCTCTCCCAATGTCTCTCTGTTTCACCCACCTTCATGTTGCTGATGACAATTTGTTTTACATCATTTTGAAATGATTCATTCAGGTCACCAAGCACATGTGCAGTCCATGAAGCTCCAGGTGGATTTTTAAAAGGCCTTTATAAAAGACAAGAAAATTAGATTAGTAAGCATCAAGAAAGACTTGTAGTTGGCACATTAACTTTTACTTAGTAAAATCTACGTAGAGGAAATGGAGGAGGGAGTGACAAATGCCTTGATCTCTGATCAAAGAACAGTTAATTGTTTTCATTACAAAGGACAAAGATATGTTTATTATCATGCTCAGAGATATCCACAGTTGCTATATTTTAGGCTTCAAAGTCCAGTGATAAAGCAGCTGAATGTAATATTAACTAAAAGTTAGTGGAAATGCTACAGAAACTCTTTTTATGGCTAAGCTATTTTCTGGAAATTATTTACTTGATTTGTTCAAACAACCAACAAATCGTGCGAAATCATACTCCACTACTGGTATGAGAAAAATGTTTTCTGGTAACTATTTAGCTAATCAAAATAGAAGCAATCATGAAACTTTTCAGGAATTTCTGGAGCTTTGCTGACCACCTATTAATTTACTGTCAGCGTCTAGAGAACTTTAGTTGCTATGGCGCTGTCTCATTGAGGGATGGTGAAAAGGAGATGCTATGGCATTGAAGAATAGAATGCAAAGCTATGAAAGGATTTTGGGGGGCCAAACAAAAGGAAACATTAAAAGCAAGGTTTAAAGTTAATTGAAATAGAAAGAAGATAGTCTGTTGGCTTTTGCTATTGTAAGAAAATGGCACACCATTTGAGCTGATGAAATTGCCTTGGAATTAATACTGTAGGCCAAGGAATGACCTAGCAATCCAAAGCCAATAGGCTGTAAGCAGCATTTACTACAAAAGTATGTTGTATGTCACAAACACTGTGGGAAGTATTGGGGAGAGGACTAAACTTTGCAATTTTCTACAAGTAAACAACTACACCCATCAAAAGCCTGTTGGAGGAGCGGAAATTCTGTAAAACCCTTTCTCCAATTCCCAACCTTTCATCCAATTCAAAAGGACATCAGAGTCAGTGGTTCTGAGGGCTGCTGAAAAGTCTAATAGGACCAGAAGGCACACACTTGGTAACAAAGGAAACCAACCAGTGTAACCTGTGCTGTGTCCATCTCCTGCCCAGACCTGAAACCTGACTCAAAGAGGTTCAATAACCTGTGTCCTCTAAGGCACTCCATAACTGCTTCACTAGCACCCTTTCAACACTTCCCAGATAGGGAAGATTGGAGCCTGAGCAATAACTGCCAATGAATGAAGGTAAATATATGTGAATATATTTATATGTAAATATATGTAAATATATGAAGGTAAATATATGTATCCCATGGAACTTCTCTCTCAGCACATTCTGTTGAGAGAAAAGTTCTCCGAGGATGGGCTCTAACATAGTCCAAAATCTTGGAAGACTAAATCTTGAGTGATCCAGACTGGATCATGCAATTATTACAAAGTATTGCTCAATGCAAGGAAGTGTCTTAAAGATAAAAATACAACACAATTTATTTTAAATTTCAAGCAATGTTCCTTCTCAGTGTGAAATGTTAACCACTGTCTGGATTCTGACAGTCCTGCCTCTTCATGCACTATTCAGGAGCCAGAAAAGGCAGGAATATAATCTAGTAATTTTATTTCTATTTTTTTATTTTATAATTTTTGGAGATTACAAAAAACAGATATATGGCTTTTGGGAGGGAAGATGTACTCATGGGGCTCCTGATTGTGTATGTATGTTCTAAGGAAATGGCTGGTTCTTCTGGGTCTAATGTCTGCAAAAAGGGCACCTAGCTGTTACAATGTTCTTAAACACACATCCCAATAAAACAAGCAATCCATTTATGACATCTTTAATTTTGATTTTATCACTTCTAAGAAGTACATCTGGATCATTAATATAATGCCCATATAAGAAATGGAAAAAATGTTTTTGAGTCAAACAGGATATTTTGCATTTGAAAAGCATTTTTAGACTGTGTAGACCCTGCCTTGGAAAAAGCCCTCAGATTTATTTCTGAATAAACTGTAAAGGATATGAGAAGGTGATTTTCAGGCCAATGTCCTTTTTAGTAAATAGTTTTGAATATATTTTTTTGCAGAACTAAACTTTTGAATTTATAGTTCTGCCAGTTTGACTCAAGAAAGAGTTAATTTTATGCAGAACTCAGAATGTCAGTAATAACAAAAGGACAGAGAGAAGAAAGTTAAGCTTATTCTCCCTTCTCACCCATGTAAAACAAAAGAACAAGTGGTTTCTGGAAATAGAACAAAAACTGCCCATGTCTACTGGGCAAGTTGACAAGAATGGAAAGCCCAAAGTGATACACACTTTGGTTTGATTATTTTCAGCAGGGATAAAGTTAAGGACTAGTCCAGGTTAATTGAAGTATTTCTTGCAATCATTTTAAACAAAGCATTTTTGTTTTGTTTTGAATTTCTGTTTTCCTTTGCATTCTCCCTGAAACCAGGCTTTAAGCTATCAAGATCAGTAGAAGCAATACACAGGCTACTTTAGTCCATAGTCTTTCCATTTTCTTCTGTTGCTGATAAGATTGTTTTCCAATTCAGGATTGAAAAAGAAGTCGTCTTAGCATTGAAAACTGTGGACACTGAGACAGGAATTGAGAAAGAAGTGTTGCACTTTTCTTCCAGGTTGGTGCATACTTTTCAGGGTTAGTAAGAGTCCCTGAACTGGAATAGTATACAAAGATGAAGGAGGAAAATCAGACAGAAAAGGATAAGCAAGAGTAGGGGAAGAACAAAATAATCCAATAAGATTTCTGGTGGAAACACCTGGAAGACAGGAAGTTGATGGGAGCCACCCAGAATTTGATTGGAAGGAAGGAAGGAAGGAAGGAAGGAAGGAAGGAAGGAAGGAAGGAAGGAAGGAAGGAAGGAAGGAAGGAAGGATCTTTACTTTTTTTCCTGATTTTAGTTACTATTTCCTCACGCTTTCTTCGGAACTGGAAATAGATGGAAGACATCTCAGTGGAAGAGTGGGAAGTGGGGACAGAGCCATACTGGCAATGACAAAGCAAAAAAAAAAAAAAGGATCTCCCCTTGGGATGTGTCTCAGTCAGGTTTTGGACAAGTGCTAAGCTCTACTCAGAGACGTTCCTAAGATCCTGGTGGCAATATTTTTCTTTCTCAAGAAAATCCATTCAGGAAAAGACAGCACCACTACATAGTGATTTTTTTTTTTGCACGACGTTGCTTATTTTTATTTATTTATAAAATAGCATTTTTAAAAAGTCTCAAAACTATATTTATAGTTTACATATCTGTGAGATTCCAATGTTATATCTGTCATGTAACATCCGTCTTAGTTCCTGAATTTTAAAGGATATTGTCTTTCATTTCTAAAGTTTCACATTTCCCAACTATATGTGCAATGTTTGATTCATAGTGCTGTATCAACTTACCTGGATCTGTTCCTCAGCAGCCTCATGAATAAGTAAAAGAAACTTCAAAACTTACAACAACTTTCCAAACCCTTTTCCCTTACATTTTCTGAAGGTTTATGGATATTCTAGCATGCCATAATATTTCTCATATTGTTTTGCAAAATTGTTCAGCTGAAAGTAAAATAAAATTGGCAACTGCTAAACACATTTATTCTAAATTACCACAGTAATGTTTATACTACTTTCTGTATTAAAGTTAAATCTTGTTTTAACTAGAGATGTTTCATTTTTCTGTCAGCATCCTGATGTTTGGATGATGGTAATGATGGATGGACAGACAACAGAGAATTGATTTAAGCAACACAATCACATTGATTTTTTTTCATCATTTTAAAATATCCAATTATTTATTTGCATTATATACAGTACTTGATTTATTTATGTAACAGTAAGTGCTTACTAAATGAATTCCACAGGAGTTGAAGGAATTGGATTCCATGTTCTGAGTGCAAAAAGGAACAACAGTTATAAGGCAGAATAACAGCATCTTTTTCTTGGCTTGAAGCCAAGAAAAATGAAGCATGCAATTAAACAAGGTAATTTCTTTATTGCCTGGAAGCCCTGCCTTCACTGCTTAAGGTGTTTTTGAAGGAAAGGAAGCTGCATAAAGGAAGTAAAGTCGCAAGAATGGAAGCAGCTGAAAATTTATTCTCTTACTGCAGGAACAAGTGAGCAAAATATGAAGCCTCTTGTGTGAAAGACGGACAGTGAGCTCTCTTTCCATCAATATTTTTCTTTAAAATTAATTTGTGTCACATCAATTTCTTTTAAATATAAGTTCTGGGATGTGGGTATATTAATTTTGCAGTGGAAAAAAACAGGAAGAGAAAATCCCACTTTATGCATTAGTCTTTTCTATAATAATATATTTTAGAGTTGGGAAGGAGAACTAGTACCAATGAACAAGAACAAAACACTGAGTGTATTATTGTGTACCGGTACTTGTAATTATTTTATTTATTTTACTAGATGTAAGTAGAAGTGTAAGAAAATGCAATGGTAAATGTGCACTAAGAAGAGCTACAGTATTCAATATTCTAGAATGTTATTGTTTAGGTTACTTCCTTTAGATGGATAAATAACAGTAAGGAATATCAACACATGTGTTTTGTTACTCTCCTTGTTTTAAAATCAGAAAAGGTATAGAATAGCTGCAATGTTTGGGTAAAAAAACAATCCCCTGAAGAAGTGAATGGAGAAGGCAATGCAATTCTACATTTAAAGACTCTTCTGAACCCAGCTTTTAAATTCAACTAATTGTTATAAGATTATAAACATTGTGTAAGATCATTTCCAACCTATAGTTGATCCAGATGTCCCTCTAATTATAGTGGTCATTTCCCATCATTCATAAGAAGCATTAGTTTGGCTACACTGGTTGTAAAGAATAGGAGTTATAATTCACTGCTCCTGGAGTGAAGTTGCATTTGTATATAAGGGATATGCTTCAAGATAGGCAATGAAGTGACAACAACCATTTTTCTTGCAATCTGATTTTTAATTCTTCAATTATTTATTTGCAATATTAGTAACAGCCTCATTGCAAGTCCTCAAAGTGACTGACAATCGGAGAATTAAATCATCTTCTTTAAACCTGTTTAAAAGAGAATGGTAACTTAAGAAGATTCTGAGTAATTATGAAATTATGAAAGCATTATGCTTGTTTTAGATCGGGTTTTCTCCAAATGGTATCTTCCAGATGTCTTAGCACTACTGCTCATTTGCTGAAAAGTTACAACTCATCTGTGGGTTGCCAGGTGGGGGTGTATGCTTTTCATTATCAAACTCTGGGATGGTGGAGGGGAAAAGGGGTAAAAGCTCAATGGGAGCATTTAGTGGAGTCATTCTAATTCTACTTCATGAAGCTTCCCAGATCAGCATTCAATAAAATGCTCCTATTGGTATTCTAAACTAACAGCATTGGCACTGGCCAAATCCATAGTACAGTATCCTTAATACTGTACTATGAAGAAATCCAGAGCGAGCTGAAGCATATTCTGTATCAACTAACATATTTCAAGGCTAGAATTAATCTTTTCAGCTTGACTTACAGAAAGACACAGAACGGTTTGAGAAAATTGGTTCTGTTCCAGATTATATCAACAACCAGAATCACACAGCAGTTTGTTCACAGTTTTCACTCTATTTTCTTTTCCACTGTTCTTTATGTGATGTGTTCTTGCAAATGGAAGTCAAGGCAGAGACTTTTCCTGTCAATCCTTTCTTCCTTTATTTGCTTAGCTATTTTCCTCCCCCACCCCCTCTTCTGCAGCTGTGATAGAAACTGGCAAAGTGTTAATTACAAAAAAATTGGCAAAATGCATAGTTTATTGGAATGAGCCATCTCTTTCTCCCTCCTCCTTTTCCAGAAAAAGAACACTCCTCAACCCCCCCCCTTTTTGTGTGGAAGGGGGACATGGAGTGTTTAAGGCCAAATTGTATCTAATCTATTTCACATCTATTGAAATCATTTATGTGGCTGCCAAATAATTTTTCAAAAAGATATTCCTATTATGATGCCCATAATTTTTGAAATGCACTTATATCCTAAATGCCTTCATAGTTTTGTGAATGAGCCTAAATTTATTTATTTATTTATTTATTTTTGAGACGTATATACCGCTTTAAGTGCAAGCACTCTCTAAGCGGTGTACACCAGTAAGCAATGTATATATATATTTACATTGCCCCCAACAATCTGGGTCCTCATTTTACCTACCTCAGAAGGATGGAAGGCTGAGTCAACCTTGAGCCGGTGAGATTTGAACCGCTGACCTGCTGAACATAGTCAGCTAAAGTGGCCTGCAGTACTGCACTCTAACTGCTGCGCCACCTCGGCTCAACATCAGAAAGCTTTTCCATTAGAAAAAAGAATAATAAACGTCACAGAAATACAATTTTAAAAAATAGTTTTTTTGCCTTCCTTGAACTCCAAAAAACATTCCCTAGAGCAGTACTAGGACATGAGTAATTTCACTGAATATATTTTGAAAATGGATGATGTTTGGAACAAATCATGTTCATGTTTGATAAATGTTCTAAGTGCTTCTCTGTATAAAATTAGATGTGACATTAATTGCATGAATTCAATTAAATGTCCTTGATTTAAGAGGAAATATAAATAACCTTCAGGAAGCCTTATCAGTTTATATTTGTATGTGAGGAGGGAGAAAATATGGACATTTTAACAAGCTGCTACTTTCATTAAAAATAAAGTTCCATTAGTGCCATTAGGAATGTCTCTTAAAGTACAAGTAGCAGCTTCAGAGAACCAATATCTGTTGAGGCTCTTGGAAAGAAGATTAAATATTTCCTCTTTATCTATTCTGTCTTTGTTTGATCAGGGAGGCCCAAAAATGACTGGACAGGTCAATGACATGCTTGGAGAAAAGTATGTTCTCTCTTTGATTACGTAAGGTAGGTTTTTCACAGGTATACTGACAACTTGGTTTTGAAGAATTTAAAAAAAAGCAAATGTGTTTATATTTTGGAGATACTATAAAAAGGCATTCAGTTCTGGACCACATAAATAGATCAATAAAAATCAGATATCAATTTTGGGGGGAATTAAAAGAAACATTTGGCAATTGGTGAATAAAACTGATAGTTAATAGAGAAGAGTTAGGAAAAGTTTAAATTAAATAAGGATCTAGCACCTTTACTCTTTATACTGTCAATGGTCCTACTGACAACAATTTTGAAGAAGACAAACTGTGGTTATGAGCTGGATAAAAAAGAACTCAAAAATTCCCATTTACTCTATAGAGATGGTTTAAAAGACTGAAAAAATAACAAAATAGTGGGTCATGCAGACTGAGGTTGACTTCTTATGGAAAAGAAATCCAAAGTTATATCATTTGTGTTTGGAGTCCTTAGACTTAGAGCAATACCTACAGGGCTCCCTGAATTTTTAAAAATTTTGAATGTATTGGATCTGAATACTCTGATTTTATAAAACATTATCTTGCTTGGAACTGCTTATATCCTTAGGCACTAATTTCATAATTCTTAGGTCCTTGGTTATGACTTGAATTATTAAGTTTTCACCAGACTAATAGTAATAAAAATAATACTTTTTGCCTCAATTGACATGTTTTGCTTTAATCATGAAGCATCATTAGATAATACTATGAAAGTTCCTTATCCTTAATGTTCAATCACTGTATTCTAGCCCCTATGCTTTTAAACTTCTATACACATTTTGTCAAACCCTGAATTCCACATATAAGAAGTACTTATAAGAATATCCTTAAAAATCCTTTTTCCCCACTGTAAGATAATGGTCTTGACATCATCTACTCTTAAGATAAAATTATTTATATTCTCTACAAGTGATATGTCCACTACTACACTTTAAAATGTATGGTGCCATTATAAAACAGATTAAGTTATTTAAACATCTTGAGGCTTCCTTTTTAGTGTCAAAATCAATGATCAACAAACTTATAAGTACATCAAGAAAACAGAGTTTAATTATGTTTGTATAATCTGATTCCATGTTTTCACTGTATAGACGTAAAATTGTCTACTAGCATATATTAGGATATTTCATATCAGAAAGATGCAACTTGACATAAAACATATCTGTTCTACTTAGATAGTGGTGGCAAAATATAAATTTTATGAAGATCCCTGTAAAAATACTGTATAAGAAATCTGCTTTTGGAATCAACATCCTGGAATTGTCAGGCAAAGGTGGCATTCATGAAAGACCAAAGCCCTGCAAACACCCTTTTTTTTCATTTTGTGTGATGAAACACAGACAATTGCATCTTTGCAGCAGTAAAGATATACAATGCAAAATTTATGAGTCATCTAACCTATCAAGCTCAAGTCTATAAATACTGTTCTGACAATTTTTTTGTAACCATTGAATTTTAAGTTTCTAAGGGTTTTAGTTGATGTATCCCTATGTGTACCCAAACCTTTATCAAAGCAAAGCCCTATACATGATACAACCATTTAAATGATTGGCTTAATGTGCTTTTAGAGATCTTTTGCTTCCCTGACCTTCTGAGACAGCTTCTTGTCCTCTTATCCACGTGGTGTAAGGCAGTGGTTCTCTAAGTATACTGTAGTGATCCCCGCCCAAGATCCTTTCAAGGCTCTGCAAATTCAAATAAATTATTACACGAGACACTAAAAATTCTACTTTAATTTATAATACAATAAATAGATACAATCTACATGAATCAAAGCTCTTTGGAGATCCTCCATCATTTTTAAGAATGCAAAGGGGTCTTGGAACCAAAATCTTTGAAAGCATTGGTTAAGGAATAATTGTGGACCCAACATTTGACTCTAATCAGAGGTGAAATAACTAATTGTTTATGTTGATTTCCCAAAATACTTTATTTTGTTCCAGCTTTAATGTACATAGCCTTACTTCATCATTAAACCCCTTCTAGCAGACATCTATCTTTGCCCATTACATAAAAGAGTTTTCATATTAGCCAGATATAATATGCTACTATCTGCAATTCCCAAAGTGGCAAAAATCTGACTTCATTTTAATTAGGTACTGGATTTAAATTAAAACCATTTCCTTCTTTATTTTAATGACTCAAATCTGTTGCTTTTAAATGTATGATTATATATTAGGAAAGGATGGAAATTTTATGCCAACCCTCAAGACATTTGGCAAAAAGTACCTCCAAAGTGCTGAACTAGAAATTAGGAACTAAGGATGGATAATGCTGAAACTATATATGATAATAAGGCAGGTGATCCAAAAGATTATTTGACTACACTTTGTAAATGTACAGTTTCATTTCCTCAGGGAGAACAGGTGCCATTTACAGGTCTTGAGGGAAAACGTTGGATTTCCATTACCTTATTCATAATACAAGAACTGCATGCTAGAGAAGGAAATGCAAGCCTGCTTTTTATTTTCTCGTTGTTTTTACAACAGAAAGGTCTAGAACAGTGGTTCTCAATGTTTGTGTGACGGCGACCCCCGTCACACAAACGTGCCGTGCATGCGCGGCGCCACCCCCTGAGGGGGAAAAATGGCGGATCGCCTTGTTTGGCGACCCCCGAGAAATGGTCGTGACCCATAGGTTGAGAACCACTGGTCTAGAACAAGGGTCTCCAAACTTGGCAACTTTAAGACTTATGGACTTCTGGAAGTTGAAGTCCACAAGTCTTAAAAGTTGCCAAGGTTGAGGACCCTTGGTCTAGAAGGTGTCACAATTATGTCATATGTGAAACTAAAGGGGATGCTGCAACAGTCGTAAGTGTGAAAAATGGTCAGAAGTCACTTTTTTCAATTCACTTTTTTTGCTATGGTAACTTTGGTCCCTAAACAAATAATTGTAAGTTGAGGACTACCTGTACTTCTTAACCTTCTGCTCTGTCAGTGCTCAGATGAGCATGGTGACAAGACTGCCTTTTTTCAGCTGTGCATGACTGAACAACTTCACCCCTTCCTTAATGACCCAATTTCTGTGATTAATGCATATGGATGTCTTTGTAAGAAACCCAGAAACTGCAGTGGGTTCAGAGCTTGGAAGCTAGGATTGTTCCTCATTGAGCGTGTGTGACTGAATAACACTGTCTACCTGTTATCTTCTGAACTATATTCATTTTTTAAAAAAAATTCTTTATGAATCAGATCCTAGAACTATCTCATTCAATCATCAGTTGTGAATTACTGCTCATCTTCTACAAATAAGCACTGCCTAAAAAGAAAGCCAAGGTAGAAACAACTATGGCCAGGCCTACTCAGTTTGGCACCACTCTATTCAATTCCCTTCCCCGGGAATATGCACTTTAAGAGAAACTTGAAAATTTACTTATATAAGCAAGGATTCTGTTCCAAATTCTTCACTTTACTGATTTTTCATGATGCCCAATCTAGCTTCAATTTACTTTTATTTGCATTACTTATAAATTTATCTTTTTATTAATATGATTTTACTGTAATGTCTTCTTGCCTAACTATTCTCATTGCTGTATTGTAAACCTCTGTGGGATGACTTGCCAGGAATATGAAAGTAAAATTTGACAATAATTAACTAAATAGTTAAATAAACAAGCAAGCACTGACACTAAAAATTCATGGAAAAATCAAACTCTAAATCTCTTAACTTTGAAATGCTTTTAAAAGGCATAACCACTAAAATATTTTAATAGATTTAATAATGAATCAGGGCTTTTCTCATAAATGTGTTGGCAGCTGCTCTTAAAATTATAGCATGTTGCTATTGAATGGCATGTTGCTATTGAAATTGTTTATTCTTATGAGTTACAGTGAAATAATACAAATTAATTAAATAAATGAATAAACTACTGAATTTCTCCAGACATAAGACAGTCATCAATCAATATGATTGCAATAGACTATCCGTGATCCCTGCCATTCTACAATGACTTGATACAGGTAGTCCTCGACTTACGAAATTAAGGACCATTTAAAGTTGTGATGGACCTCCCCATGGCTACTTGCAACCCATACTTAAAGTTTCAACAGTTGTTCCTGCCTGCAATCATATGACCAAATTTTGGCTGCTTGGTAGCCAGTTTACATTTACAACTGTTTGCAGCATCCATGATCTATCTACATATTTTATTATTTAAATCTCTCACCACCAAATGGCCTACTGATTTCAATTAGATCACTGTTTCAGAAAAAAAAATTGCAACCATTATCGTCTAGGTTTAATTATTTTAAAGTAATCTTTTCTACTGCATCTGCTGTCCTCCAGATGTTAGACTTCAAGTGTCATTAACTCTATAATGATAAGAATTTAAGTCTTATATATGGTGGGAGCAAGAATGGAAAAGCAGAGGTATTCTCTCTAAAAAGTCAAGGTATTTTGAAATATTTACTTACAAAACACAGGCATTACTAAATCAACTAAAGCTATACTTTATAAAGCTTTATTATTATACAACATCAAGTATGATCCAGTCCAAGTTTTTCAGACTTATAATTTTCTGAAATTTTCCCTCAATTTTCAAAAAGAACTCAAGGAAATCAGTCATAAAATCTAGCTGCTTCATATGAATAAACTGTATTTGAATCAGCAAAGTAATTTTAATCAAACTACTTCTTGGAATGATCTAGAGAGCAGGGCTCATCAACCTTTTAGCCACATGTGGAATTTTAGGGCCATGATGAGAACATTATGTCTTGCCCATTCACAAGGCCTGCTTGTTTACAAAATGCTGTCATGATAGAATAGCCATCATAAACGAAAGTGCTAGGTAAGGGATGGAACTCAGTGAGCACCAAATGAACAGCCTACAAGCACTGTCATCATGTTGGGGATCCCAGTTCTAGACAAACAGTTTAATTAAAATGGTCATCCCCCATAAGAAAGAAAAAATCTTAAACACAAATGGAGCAAAAAACAAACTAATTCACACAGCCAAGAAATTTTTTTCAACCAAAATCTTTTAGAATAACTCTGTATTCAATCATATTTCCTGCCTTTGAAACATAAAGGGTTTAACCTCAAAGAGTAAACAGTGGGGCACCTTTAGAAGACTCTGAAAAAATATTTATTAAATTTTGACTATTGTGTGGATTCACATTGTTAATATTTAATCTCAGTGTCAAAGCTGCTAACATCGGATGTTCTTGCTTTGACAACAGATGGAAATGTAGCCATCTTTTCTCTTTCGCTTTTAGAGTTAAATGATGCTGGGAGTGGGGGGATGAGTCCAGTTAGTCATAACAACAATAACTCAGCCGTAATGGGGCAATGTGATTTATGACTGTTAATTGGAGGGGATTGTGCTTTGCTACTTTGTGCCCAGGGGAGGGGAATTCAGTTTTTGGTTTTAACTATGTAGTGCCAATACTTTGTTTCTCAAATAAAAGATTATTTAAGGTAAACAATGCCTTGAAGTTCTTTTAAAGAGTTTCATCTGTTGGAACCATGATACTCAGTTGCTTAAATGAAGCCTTGCAGATTTCTTTTTAAATATTTAGAAAGATTTCTTTTAAATTATTAGCTTTTACTGATGCTTTCTTTTTCAGTTATGTGAAATTCACTTTTTTCATTATAATCACCAGCTATAGAAAATCATTTGTTAGCATTGACTTTGATGCTTTAAATATTTCTGCTGCCTACATTTCCTTTTCCTTTTCTTCCTTTGTATTATAACCGACATCTGAGTTCAACTCGTAGTAGGCTACAGTTCTTGTTTAACTACCCTAATTAAAACTAACAACTCTGACACTAAACAAAGAAGTCACTAAATGGGAAATTACATGACTGCAACTCTGCTTTCTGACTAGAGTCACAACTATGGGTAGTTAAGTTAGGATGGCAATTGGGATATGAGTGTCATATGACTGCATTGTTTAGTGAGGCAATCCCTGCACTAATCAAGCACGGATTGTGGATCATTTAGCAAGTACCTCTTACAACTTCATTCAACATGCAACAACCAAAATCAGTGGAGAAGCTAGCAGGAATTTGCAAGTCTTAGGTGATTTACAAAAAGGCCAGCAGACAGTGCATGAGCACAGTGGGGCTTGCGGTGCACAAGGATACATGGGTGGCTGGGGAGGTATGACACAAATGCAGTGAGGGTTGGGAAGATTGTGCAAGGATATGAGAGTGGTGGGAGAAATGTGGGATGAACACAGCTTAAGGCAACTATTGCTGGGTGGGGGAGGGTATACAAATGGTCTGGAGGCATGGCACAAGTAGGGTAGGGTATGTGAAGGTGTGTAGCTAGCTGGCAAGTTACTGCAAAAGTGCAGAAGTGCTGGGGGAGGGGTGCATATGGGGAAGATGTGACTTTCCCTGTTGGTATTCTCATTGACTTTCCTTATGGGAAGCCCAGAGGGAAGATCACAAATCACAATCACTTGACCTCAGGACAAGTTGTACAATTGTAAGTGTGAGCCAACTGTTCTTTGCAAGTGCTGGCACACACAATTTAAAGACTGGTCATAACCACTGCTTGTTCTGCACTGTTGTAACTTCAAACGGTCACTGACCAAGTAGTCATTAACAGAGGATTACCTGTAGTCAATTTCACACCTTTGGTTTTTGTTTACATCCTAACCAATTATCCACCCTTTGGAATGCTTGTATCTTATACACATCAAAACCAATGTGACTGTATCGCAAACTGGGGCTGGGAGCCGTAGACATGTTTTACAAACAGCCAACTCTCTTGAAATCCCTTTCCCTCCAATCTCTCTGATCTACAGGGAATGGAGGGAAAGGTCAGACAAAAGGCAAGATTACTACTAAAATTGCTTGGTTTTTTTCTCACACTCCTCTGAACAGCACAGACATTGGAGAGAAATAAATTTCAAGAGAGTACTATAAACTATTTGCATAGTCTTGCCCAGAACTTCCAGCCCTTGATTATTGGTTTGACTGTATTGCTTTTGATGTATACAAGAGAACTTTACTTTCTTATAATCATTTTCTCTCCAATTTCTCTATTCTGCAAGGGGAGGAAAAAAAAAAAACAAAGGTCAGGCACACTACAGTACATACTGACTGTAATAGTGATCATGTCATTGAGATATTCTGCAAAAGTCATAAGTATTTATAAATGGGCCATAAAGTTATTTTTAAGGCATGTTTTAACTTTAAATAGCCACTGAACAAATGGCCTATAAGTGAAAGCTAACTTTATATCTGTTTTCTGATCAGAGAAATAATCATAATGACAATTCTTGAGGCTAGAAATACATATGTTCCTTTACCAGATTTGAATTTTCAGATTTCAATGTTATCATCAATGGATGAGAAGCAAAACGTCTTCAAAGAAAAATAAGAAAGTCTAGTTGGGACAACTATGACCTGGATAACTGAGAATCTCCACAGATATTTCAATGATATGTTTAATCACAATAACATAACTGGAATTTCCTGACTATAATACAGCAAACTATGAAAGCAACAGTTAGGAAGGAGTTCCCCTCCAGTATGTGAAGAACTAGAATAAGAGATGAAGAAAGATGTAATTATGATAGGGAAAAAAAATGGAAAAAAAAAACCAATGCAGAGGTTATACAAGCAACATTTCTGTATCTATCCCTTCCTCCTCCCGTGTTGCATAAAAGAGATCCCCAAGCCCTGGGGCGTGGCATACTCAGAAATGGCGAGGGTGCTCACCCGCGCAGCTCTACTTGCCCAAATTGCAGCCCTGTTTGCTTGTGAAAATGGAGCTGCGCACGTAAGCACGGGCACCTGCTGCTTACACGGAACCATTCCCTCTCTCCCCCCACTGCTGTCATCACTATGCTGCCACCGGTACACAAAGCCAGAAAGGTTGGGGACCGCTGGTGTATAATGACTCTGAAATGACACTATGAGAAAATATTCTAAGGAAAAGATAAATTACAAGAGACTATTGTTAAACAAAGACTGCTAAAAGAAATGTATTATGGTCTGGCTAGCACTTATTCTTTCTAGGATTTTCTTCTGTCCTCTGAGTATAGGACTGATGCTGGAGAAAATTGTAGGAGAGTCTAAAGGGGTCTTTAAAGAGAACTACAAGGAGAAGTAAATAATTGGGTGAGTCACCTGTCAATATAAAATGTAATGAGTAATGTAAAACACAATGAGTAGAAAATAAGATTCTTTTCCCCCTTTTATTAAATTGAACCTTGGGCTATTCAAAGATGATAAACAAAGCGAGATTTAGAATTAGCAAATGGAAATACTTCTTTATATAACATCAGTTTAGCTAAACGATTTGCTGCCACAAAATATGCCCATCAACCTAGATTACTTTAAAAAATACAATTGTGGGGTGGGGAGGAGAGAAATAAGCTTTCAGTTGTTTTGAATGTATGTTAATTCTACAAGCAAAGGTGGGATATTTTTCAATCTGGGTACTACACAGGGAATAGCTTGGTATAGTGCAGGGGTTGGCAACCTTAAACACTCAAAGAGTCACTTGGACCCGTTTCCCACAGAAAACACTGGGAGCCACAAAACCCTTTTGACATCTAAAATGAAGATAACACTGCATATATCCGGTAGCCCCTGGTCATGCTGGGAAGGGAACTCGTGGTATAGTGGTTAAGCACCAGGAGATGATGAGCTTTTATTCCATTTTAGATATGGAGCAAGCTGGGTGACCTATTCAGCTCTTAGAAGCAGACTAGAACATTGCATGGATTAGACTAGGACTAGGTAGTCATAGTTAACACTGACTTGAAGGCACATACACATGAAAAAAAGTAAAGGAACAACATGTCTTATGACCTTTCGAATATGGACGTGGATTGCTATTTATCACAATGGAAAAGTGTACCTGATCCAAAAGTGTACCTCTTCCTCTCTAAATATGTCTTTGTTCTGGTATTGAATATTGGGTGATTTTGGGGCCAGGCATTATAGTAAATGCCTGACTTCCACATGGGACAAGATTGATGATAAAATGAGGAAAGGAGTAAAGAACACCAAGTAGGAAATCCGAGCTTTTCAGCATAATAAATGTCTACTTGCTTTGCGAGTTGTCTGCAACTTGAAAAATGGGCTAATTAAACATCATCCAATCAAATCATGGTTGTGCGAGGCAGTCCCACTGCTAGACACGTTTAGTTGTGAGGAAGCCCCATTGAATTTGATCGGATAGTTGCCGAGAAAACATGCGTAAAATCACACAGCATTGAATTACTGTCAGGAATTATACCAGTCTTCATCACCTTTTCCGGAGATGGGAGAAGCAGCAATCTGGCGCGTCTGAAGGGCAGGAGAAGACTCGATTTGACATTTTAAGTCCGCGTTTGCATTTCCAAACATTTCAGTTTCAAACACTGCACTTCCCTTTCCTCTCTTTCTGAACTTCTCTCTTAAAATCCGAAAGCTCACTACGACGTCGCGGAAGAACCAACGATTTTATGCCACGCCTCATGCTGTCATAGTAACAAGGTCGAGGCCCGAGGCAGAAAACCAAATCCCTCCTTTTCGGTTGGTACCCAGCTACGCCTGCGCACTGCACTTGAGCGTCAGTTTGTCTGGTTTCTATGACAACGACTCCAGTTCTAAGTTTTCGGCGGCCGGAGACAAGATGAAGCTGAAGCGGTTCTTGCTGCGATATTACCCGCCGGGTGCGGAAAGGTTCACGGCAGAGTTGGGAGGGAGGGAGAGAGGCAGTTGCGGATGCGAACTCCTGTGGGAAGAGGGCTCGGCGGGGAAGGACCGTGACGATGGGGAAAGCGGCAAAGCCTTGGGTGCGGGCAAACGGAGGCTGTGGGAGGACCGGCAGTATGGAAAAGGATAACGGGGAGAGCGAAGGTGGAGTGGCGGGACGCGCTATACAACAGGAACGGGGATGGTGGAAGTGCAGGAGGAAAGACCCAGAGAAAAGGCAATGAGCGAATGGGGAGCAAAGTTTCACTGCACCTGACTTTATTGTGCAGCTGTAGTTTACCAGGCCCGTTGTGGACTTGAAAGTAAATTAAGTGGGATTTAGTAGACCTTTTCAATTCAATCTTTAGTGGGATGTACTCCTAGTAGCGGTTTTTTTAGGTGGAAAACATTTAATGGTAGGGAGCTGTGCAGGGAGTTACAGACATAGCCAATCATTAGAATCAACATCCTGAAAAACTAAAATATTAAATAATTAATTTAACATATTAAATAATAATTAGTGGGAAGAGCATTTGTGCCCATTTCAAAGAATTTGTTTATACCTGTATAGAAATTAAATATCAGTTTGTGGGAATCAAGGACTCGGAACGGGGGAAAATGATAAATTATTTTAATGAAAAATATAATTTTGCTATATTAGGATTTACACAGTAATTAGGGCAGCTTATACTACTTGAAAACAAAATACTATACCACTGAAAGGAAATTTGAAAAATTAGTGGAAATAGCAACTGAAATAAACTACAATTTATACTGTGTATGAAGCAGATACTTTCTAAATAAGATATTCATCGAACTATAAACAGATTCTTGAGAATCTGTTAAGCAAACTTCTTCTGGCACTGAAATCCAAAATGCATATTCTGCCCTTTCTGTAGTTCTTATTAACTGGTCCTCTGCTATATGGATAAGTGCCTCTATTGAACCTGAGGGATTAGTCGGCCTGATTCTAGCAGCTCACAACAGTAAAAAAACAGAAATAAAGTATAAACAAAACAGCAAAATAATGAAACAATAAAAGAATAAAATAAACAATAAAAATACAGTAATATGAGATTAAAAAATGGGCAGGGAGAAGCAGGAAATATGCGGGGTTTGCTATCAATCTGGTAACCACTCCAGTGTCATACTTCCTTATTGGATCCCCAGTGGTTTTGAGCAGAGGTGATACTTTGCCTTTATATAGCATGCTGGGAATTACACTTTAAAAAGTAGATGGAGACACAATCAGAGAGCATATTATTTGACAACTTAAATCAGAGTTAATATGATTATGTCCAATTTAATGACTTCAAATTACATTTCCAATTTGCCAGCAACTTTTAAAAGATGTTCAGTCCTGTTGGTTTTAAAAGTCATCAACAACAATTTGAATTATACCTGTATACAAATTAGTAGCAATATAGTATACCCCTAACAATTTAGTGTACCATTTAATAGGAAAGACCGGTAAATAATGATTTTGTTATTGCAATTTAGAGTAATTGCCATTGTGAGGATCCTTATTCTTTATGAGATAATAAACATAATTATTTATATTAAAGCCTACATTAATTAACACATATATGACTATGTCACCTTAGCCCAGTGATGGCAAATCTTTTAGAGACCGAGTGCCCAAACTGCAACTCAAAACCCACTTATGCATTATCTGGTGCCGGCTGGGTGTGGCCAATTGGCTGGGTGTGGCCAATTGGGGGTGTGTGGCCCATTGGGTGGGCATGGCTGCAGTGGTAACGGCAGACTGGATGGGACTAAAAAGTTCAATCAATCAATTCCAACTTTGCAAGATCTTTTTTTTTCCCACGAGAAGTTGAAATTGACTGATTGAACTTTTTTTTTTTTTTGCACACGGCAGCAGAGGTCTAAAGCGAAAAGGTTTTATAAAACCCAGCTGAAGGCCTAGGATTGGGGCGACGACTCGCATGCCCACAGGGAGGGCTCTGAGTGCCGCCTCTGGCACTGTGCCATAGGTTCGCCACCACTGCCTTAGCCAAAATTGGTTTGGGAAATGTGCTCTTGTCTACAGAAACTGCTTGAGCATCTAAAATGCTAAATGAATCCAATAGGAACTTCAGCTGCAAACCTGATTCTTCACATAAAGTATTAGTCCATTCAAAACATTTTAAACTCAGTCATTCCTTTTATGGTATAATACAGTGGTGGTGAACCTATGGTACGGGTGCCAGAGGCGGCACTCAGAGCCCTCTCTATGGGCACACACGCCATCGCCCCAGTCGTAGGCCTTCAGCTGGTTTTATAAAATCTTTTTGCTTTAGGCCTCCAGTGCCATGTGCAAAAAAAAAAAAAAGGTTCAATCAATCAGTCAATTTCAACTTCTCGGGAAAAAAAAAGATCTTACAAAGTTGGAATTGATTGATTGAACTTTTTAGTCCCACCCAGTCTTCCGTTACCACCTCAGCCATGCCCACCCAATGGACCACACCCACCCAACTGGCCACATCCACCCACCCGGCACCCAACGATGCATAAATGGGTTTTGGGTTGCAGTTTAGGCACTCGGTCTCTAAAAGATTCGCCATCTCTGGTATAATAGGTTGAATCTATAATACTATATGTCTGTCTCCAGGAAAATTTCTACCTTTTGTGGATTGAGATTCAGTATACTCATTACTTCCTCTACTAATGAATTAAAACACAAACAGTTCCTATGTAATAAATGAAAAAGGAAATTAATGATGAAAGAATCCCTATTTTATGTAAATATTAAGAGAAAAATCGTAAAAAAATATATGCCAACATAAACTTGTTATTAAGAAAAGACCAACTTCACTGTTTCTCCCACTAAGCAGTCCAGAAGCAGTCCACCCAATTAGATCTCCCCTGGTTACTCTAAGCAACCAGAAAGTGCAAGTGTTCATATGTTTGGTCTCATGCTATCAAAAATCATTACTATATTCCCAAGCTTTGTAAGCTCAAGCTTATCAAAACATGGTTTAGATGGTACTTACTTTTTTGACATACCATTTTAGGTATCATATCTTTGCAATAAATAAACACATGAGAGCCATTATAGTAGTAGTAGTAGTAGTAGTAGTAGTAAAGTTTGAAGGGACCTTGGAGGTCATCTAGTCCAACCCCCTGCAGGAAACCCTATACCATTTCAGACAAATAGTTGTCCGGTCTCTTCTTAAAAACTTCCAGTGTTGGAGCATTCACAGTTTCTGGAGGCAGGTTGTTCCACTGATTAATTGTTCTGTCAGGAAATTTTTCCTTAGTTCTAGGTTGCTTCTCTCTTTGGTTAGTTTCCATCCGTTGCTTCTTTTCTTGCTTTCAGGTGCTTTGGAGAATAGCTTGACTCCCTCTTCTATGTGGCAGCCTCTGAGATATTGGAACACTGCTATCATGTCACCCCTTGTCCTTCTCTTCATTAAACTAGACATACCCAATTCCAGCAACCGTTCCTGATATATTTTAGTCTCCAGTCCCATGATCATCTTTGTTGCTCTTCTCTGTAGTCTTTCTAGAGTCTCAACATCTTTTTTACATCATAGTGACCAAAACTGGATGCAGTATTCCAAGTCTGGCCTTATCAAGGCATTGTAAAGTGGTATTAACACTTCATATGATCTTGATTCTATCCCTCTATTAATGCAGCCTAGCACTGTGTTGGCTTTTTTGGCAGCTGCAGCACAACTGCTGGCTCATATTTAAGTGATTGTCCACTAGGTCTCTGAGATCCCTCTCACAGTTACTACTATTGAGCAAGGTGCCACCTACTATACCTGTGCATTTGATTTTTCTTGCCTAAATGTAGAACCTTATTTTTTTCACCATTGAATTTCATTTTGTTAAATAGTGCCCAATGTTCAAGTATGTGAACATCCTCTGTATGTAGGTTTATCTTCTGGAGTGTTGGCTATTCCTGCCAGCTTGGTGTCGTCTGCAAATTTGATGAGTTCCCCATTAATACAAAAGAAACACAAGTTCAAATCCTTTTCCAGCCATGAAGCTGTTGAATTTGATAGAGACTTCATGGTAAGCAACATTACCATAGAAACCAGAAAAATAAATACTTTCAGAAGCTACATTAAATGTAGTTATTATTTAGTCATTGTAGGCTGTGTAAAAAGCAATGAGATTGAGTGAATCAAATATATTGTCTTATGCTCAGTGGAAGAACCCAGGGATAGAAATTATTATAGTTGGATCTTATTTAGATGACCATTTTGCTGTAGGAAACTTGCATAATTCCTAATCATAGATAGATAGATAGATAGATAGATAGATAGATAGATAGATAGATAGATAGATAGATAGATAGATATGATTAACCAAATTGGTAAACAGAATTGGTATGGAAGTACTGTTTTATTTTTTTTTTTAAGTTAGGCTGCTTTGTCTCCTACAACTCAGTTTCATAGGGCTGGAAATATTTAAGTATTTTAAAAACTTATTTGAATGTTACATGCATTAAAATTGTTAATATTTTAAAGCAACTGTTGGAGCAAAGTACCAAAATAATTATGTTGGATGCTGTTAACTCTATGCCTTATGGTATATATCATTTTTTTCACTTTAAAGCAGTTTAAAAGTTTTTCTGATGCATTACAGTAGATGATAGTTAAATACTTCAGATGTACTAACAAATGATTCAAACAGTGCCAATTTAATTGATTGGCTCAGAATATAATTTTTATGTTAGGAAGTCCACAGGTCAAATGTTCTTGCCGTGAATG